CTTTTGTTGCCTATTTGTTTCTTAACATTTTTTATGCTTCTCCATTTACGATCAAACGAAGATTTGATTTTAGGGTTTAGATGCTCTCTGTTCAACACAACTACAGTAAGCTCTAGATATTTCACATTGAAGAAATTGCAGTTTCTCAGTTTTTTATGTTTTTTTTCTAATATATTTTGTCAAATTACATTTTTTCAAAAACATTTTAACATATATAACAGATTTTCAGGTCCCCCCCCCCCCCCCCCTTTTTTTTGTTTTACAGTTTTCCTTCAAATTCCTCTTTTTCAGATTGCAGTTTTCATATTTTCCAGATCCCATTACCTTTACTTATGCTGGCTTTCTGGGAGTGATGAGCAAAGACACATTTCTATTGGTCTGCTGGACATTGGCTACATTTCTATTGGTCAAACTTCTCATGGGTTTGGTTCTGTTTGTTTTCTTTTCGAGTTTTTGTTGATTTAATTTCCATTTTGTGTTATTCTAGATGTTATTGGCAGTATCTGAGCTCATATGTATTTCTTGTTTACCCCCTGTTGCCCCCTTGTGTCAGTAACCTTCCACTAGCTCTCTTCAAGACTCTTCATCCACACCTGCTCCTTGTCAGCTTATTAGCCCAGTCTTTGTTCAGTCTCCCAATAATACACCTCTTGTGCAGTTTCTCAGTGCTGATTCCTCTTTGTTTCTTTGCTCATCATGTGTGCTTTCCCTGATTTTTACTGTTTTTTGGTTTTATGTAAATGATTATTTTTGGACTTTTGCTTCAGTTTAAATCTGCAAGAATCCACCTCAGCTTCCATCTCTGCTTTTGGGTCCTCTAAAAACCCAAACACAACCTGACAAAACTGAGTGTTTGTATGGGGCTTGAAGTAAAGTGAAGAGAATCTGTTAAACACCATTTCAAAAGTATCACATTTATAAAACTCAATATTAAAAAAAATAATTTAGATAAACATTTTAAATAAAACATTTATAAAAAAAAAAAGAAGAAAAAAATAAAAAAGAAAGAATTTAGGGCTGCATGGTGGTGCAGTGGGGAGCGCTATTGTCTTGCAGCAAGAATGTTCTTGGCTCGATTCCCGGCCCGGGGTCTTTCTGCATGGAGTTTGCATGTTCTCCATGCGCATGCATGGGTTTTCTACATGTACTCCAGCTTCCTCCAATAGCCCAAAACAATGACTCTTAGGTTAAGTGGCTTCTTTTAATTCTCCTTTGGTGTGAGTGAATATGCATGGGGTGTGTCTCGTGCATCTCTAACTTTCAAAGCGTCTTTAATTTCTATCCAGATTAAGACCCCATTTTGTTTTTTTGTGTTTTTCATTTATATAAAAGCAAAATTAAATAGATTAAAGCTTGTTGCTGTAACATGACCAAAAATTAACTATATCACTGTCACTGATTACTCAAGTATGAAATAATGTTTTCAGCCAATATGTACATTTCAGGTAACTTGTCCAGTAAAAACAACCCAGCCCTTGTCACCCAGGATCAACTAACATTTTCCTCAACAGAATCAACGCTACATACTGTAGTTGTGAAAAAAAACAACAACATAAAAAAGCTTTTAATGAAAACTAGCGTTTTCATTTGCTTTGATTGGTGGTTCAACAGCAAATATTAAAATGCTCATGGCAACAAGAAGCTTTGTGGTATTAGTAGATTAGCAGCTAATCCATATAAAGAATAAAAAGCCTTTTGAACCTATCCTTCTCTTGGCTGCTGCATGCTGCCAACAAAAATAAAACCACACTGGTTTCTTCTATGTCATAAGACATTGAGGGGATAATCTAAAGTGTTTAAATGATTATAATAATTGTGTTGCTGATAAAAGGAAATAACTGAGCAGTCATCAGATCCAACCATGGGTTCCCCGTTCATGGTCGGAGGCAGAAATTCTATCACTTATCAGCAGACGCTGGACCCCCTGTTGTAACTACAACCTTATCGGCCCACCACCACCCTGAGTACAACTGTACCCCAGACAGGCGCTCTGTAATTTGATACACAGCCAACACTGATACAGAATGCATATTGGGGAAGCAATTAATATGGAAGGGCACATATTACACTGAGCTACAAGCAATGTTCAGAATTTGTGATAATAATATGCACAGCATGAACATTGGGCTAAAAGTAGGCTATGGGGAAGGGACTACAAGAAAATATATTTTTAAACAGGCATTTCCTGATTACAGCAATCCAGCAGCTACATTATAGCTAGTTATTCCAGACACAGAACAGCATACTCTAGCATGGAATGATACATTAAATAGAATCCTACAGTCTGGATCTTTTTTTTTTTTTTTAAACTTCAACACTAAAGAAAGGCTTGTTCAATTTCGTGGGAACAAATTCTCTGTAATAAAACTGCAATAGTTTTTGCTATGTAAGCACAGCTAAAACTTTTGTGCTTTTACTGCCTTTGAACCACACCTCCACGAAAGCCAATCAGCATTCAAAGTTCATTTTAAAAGGCCTCCGATCTGCAACTTGTCTGCTACCTAGTCGCAGGGGATGGTTGCTGTATGACTTCCTTCAGATGATCCCGTTTCAACCCACCTCCTGTCCCTCCTCCACCATTGTAGCTCATACTTCATCAGAGTGTCATTCCTCCCAGACTCTTACTGCATTCCGCAATTGATTTCAACCGGTCCTGCAGAAGACCGCCATGTTGAGCCTGGTTCTGCCAGAGGTTTCTTCCCAACGGGGAGTTTTTTCCTCTCCACTGTCGCTTCATACTTGCTCATCATGGATAGGTTCTCTTAACCTGTGTTATCCAAACTGCACTTCCATCTTCCAGGTCCCTGAGTGAAGCTCTAGTATCAGCTCACGTAGTCCACTGGATCTCCCCATAAAACTCAGCAGACCGTCTCACAAACCAGAAGTCTACAGACTGACCAACTTCATCTATCTCCACTCAACCACCAGTTTCAGGCCTGGAGGGGGGAACAGCCCTACTCTTTACTCCTGTTCATGCATATCTATGAAAATTAAGCGTTATGTTTCCTGCCGAGGTCTGAGCCCCAAAGACAAAGGAATTGTATCAATACATTTCTTCTAATTTTCTTTTCTCTTCGTGTGTTTTTCATTTTCAAATATTGTTTGAATTTGACCTTGTGAAATCCAAAACTTTCTACAGAGCCTTTCTCCATCTGATAATGCTATAATCAATTATCTGAGCAGTGGCGGATCTAGGGGGCGGCTACTTGGGCTGCAGCCCCGGATGTTTCCCCAAGAGCCCCGGATCTCACTTCTGAGCTGATCTGTGTAAAATGTGCAGTACTGGAATTCACCAGATGGTGGCAGCAAAGGCAAGAAAGCAGCCCGTAGCATTCCTGTGCAGAAGAAGAAGTTCTCACCAATGGCTGTTGCTAAACGGACTGATGTTCCAGGGATGTGAAGCTCTCACTGACTTCTTGTTTGTCCCGGTGTTCTATGGAATTCTGTTCCCCTTGTGTCGGGAGCGCATTTAAGCCAGAGAGGCGGACATGGCGGATGGAACCATTTTCATGACGGTTCTGATCGAGTTCTCGCTAAAATCAGCTATAATCATGTCACGGTTGCAACATCCAGTTTAATCAGCAGCTGTTGTTTACTAAATTGTAAAATAAATAAATAGACGAGGTGCTTTAAAGCTATTTTGTGTTATTTTAAACGCCAAGAAAATCGTCTTTTTCCAACTTCTGTCACTTAAACCTGACAGAAATAAAAGTCAGTCACCAAACACAGTTTTCCAACAAGTAGTGAGTATTTATCATTTTTCATTGCTGATATCAGAGGATGGAAACTGGCTGATAGCAGGACACAAATATTAAGAGCTCCTGAAAAGATGAGAGAGTAGACTTTCTGATTTATCCCCTTCTAATTTAAAATATGACAGATTACTGGATTAAAGACATTTCTAGTATACTACATGATATCACACAAACAATTTTTGAGAATCTGGAAACAGATGCTTTTTACTTCCCAAAGATATGGGATGAGGAGAGACTTGATGTTTCAGCTGCCTGAAATAATCCGTTCCTCCTCCATAACATGGGAAGAAATTAATTTACCTGCACATTTTTAACTGTGTTTATTCCTCTCTTCATCAACAACAAATCCTGTGGATTTGGTGACATTTGATCATTATTTGCCAAAGTTATGAGAGGGGAATTGTATATTTTAGCCACCTGATATAATCCGTTCCCCCTCTGATGATCTTTATGAAATGTATTTTCTATTTAAATGTTTATCTAACAATTCACATATATTCCAAAAAAAAGTTCAAACCAAAACCACTGGACTTTGTTTTCCAAGTTTGAAGATGTTTCTCAATTCCAAATGTCTGGAGCAATGCTACTGCAGACATTTGGAATTGAGAATTAAAATACATTAAATAAAGATAATCAAACCAACAACTATTTTTTTCCCATGTTATGGGGAAACGGATTCTATCAGGCGGCTAAAATATATGATTTCCCTCTGATAACTTTGGCAAATAATGATCAAATTTGACCAAATCCACAGAGTTTGCTGTTGATGAAGAGAGGGATAAACACAGTTAAAGACTTGCAGGTGAATTCATCTCTTCCCATGTAATGGAGAGGGAATTGTTATTTGTGATAGCATGTAGTATAGTAGAAATTTCTTTAATCCAGTAATCTGTCATATTTTACATTAGAACGGGATTTAGAAGAAAGTCTACTCTCTCATCTTCCCCCTCGGGGCTAAGCCCCTGATCTCCGAGAATCCTAGATCCTCCCCTGTATCTGAGTTTTGCCCATTTTTACTTTTACTTAGTTTAAAAATTGGCTTAAGTCAATGCTGAGGCAGTGCTGTTACTTGAGTACAATTTTAGGGTAATCTAGGAACCTCTGATGGGGGGGAAACAAGTATGCTTTAAAATAAGTATGTATATCTAATAACACCTCTGGAAGGCAGGAGATAATATGGTTTAAGTGATAAATATGAGTCATTCAAACTGGAGGCTACTGTGAGCGGGGGCGAGGAGCCAACTGTGGCATCCAGGCTGCATCGTCCTCCTCTCCGCCTCCTCTGGCACCTGCAAATGCAAGGGAAGATCCATCCAAGCTCAAGATAAAACTGAGTGTTTGGGCTTTATTGTGAGGAGGTGTTGTATCCGTGGCAGCCTCAGAGCCCGGCCGCCCAGCGCCCCCCACCAGCGGATGGCAGGCGCAGCAGCGCGCTGCAGGCAGACAGTGAGGGCGCATTGCTGCACTTTCCCTCTTTCGGTCATTGCTCAGTTGGATGCCAGTGACCCGCAGAGGTAGTCGATCGGCAGCAAGCTTTTAAGTTCCTCAGAAAAAGAACAGACGGTGTTATGAGAGCTCAGACGTCGCTGCGCAAATCCCTGCGCTTCTTGGGGGAATAAAGTTGGTGCAATGGAGACTTCCGGGAGTGATGCTGTCACGCACTGGGAGAAAACTGAGGAAAGAGATGGATATTATAATCTGGAGCATCTCCCCCCACTGCTGGAAGATGAGGTAAGGCTTTAGATTTGATAGAAATAGATTTGGATGGTATTTAAGAATAATAATAAAAAATATTCTCGGCTGCTGTTACTAAAGTAAACGTTATATAGTTTTTTTAAAGGTTTGGTTTTCTTATATTTTCTTAATATTATCTATGGTCATTGTCTCGATAAATTTTCAGTGAGAAAATAAAGTCAGAATAAGTTTAGATTTAGACTTTGCTGTCAAAAAAAAAAAAAAGTTGATTCAGCCAATAAAGTGAAACTGATATAGACTTACTTTAGCTTATTTTAAAACAGATTTATATATTTAAAGTGTTTATATCTACTAATTTCATATATTTAAATTTACAACTAAAACAGTTTTAAAAGAAACTTTATGGCGCACAGAGTCACAAAGAGGATTGCTGAGTTATCCAAAAAACATTAAATGGTAAAGATTCAGAAAATGTGGACTGGAGTTGAAGTAAGAGCCTTAAGAGCCACAACAATGGATGTATAGCAGATATAGGCTTCATTTTAATTGTTAGATAACAAATATGTTTTTTTTTATAGCATTTGAAGTATAAATCAGTAAGCCAAACACAACCTAAAAAGGTAACAAATACAAAAAAGTGGAAAAAATGAAAACAATAACAGCTCATTAAAAATGATACATGTAAAACAAATAAGAAAAAGCAAGAATAAAAACACGAAACTAAACATTACGAACTTTGTCAAAAGCCAGAGAGAAACATGATTTAACATATCCAAATATCGCAGACCGGTAAGGAAACTTAAGCCATAGTAAAAGTTTGTGGGATACATAATTAAAACACATCATCTGAAGGCACTTTATAGAGACAATTCAACCACATCATACATTCAGATTGGTTGAAAGTTTTTTTATCTAAAGGAAAACCAGTTGATTGCATCGACTCATTGACTCGAAAGCAATCCCTCACACCAAGCATACTTGTAGTGACAGTGGAGAGGAAAGCTCCTTTTTAACAGGAAAAAGGCTTCAGCAGAACCATACTCAGTTTGAGTGACCATCTGCCGAGGCCGACTGGGGTTCAAGGAGACAGAAACAGAGATACAGAAAGAAGCAAAGATACAAAAGATAACTGTCAACAAGCTCCACAGGCGGCCCCGTCCAGGAAACACACAGCCAGGCAGATGAGTTCTGAGCCGGCTCCCATGTCAGAAGACGAAAAGAGCACATCCAGCCAGTCAAAATCGAGGAAAATGACTACACTGAAAAACTGGCCAAACTCCAACATCTATGAAGAAATGTGTTGATGGCAGCAGCACAGCTGATATTTCTCTCCGGGATGCTGTCACAGCCAAAGAGGAGCAGACCAGATGAAGCTACTATGATGAGGAAAAAAGAGAGAGATTAAAGTTAAAGGTTGAACTAACAAATACTGTAGACTGCAGCATGGGAGATTAGAGATAGAATCAAGCAGAATTAGGAAAAGGGGTCCCTATGTCCTCCAGCAGTCTAAACCTATAGCAGCATAACTATAGAAATAGCTCAGGATAACCTGAGCCACTCTAACTATAAGCTTTATCAAAAAGGAAAGTTTTCAGCCTATCCTTAAAAGTAGACATGGTGTCTGCCTCACGGACTAAAACTGGTAGTTGGTTCCACAGGAGAGGAGCCTGATAACTAAAAGATCTGCTTCCCATTCTACTTTTAGAAATTCTAGGAACCACTAGTAAACCTACAGGTTTAGAGCAAAGTGCTCTATTAGGAACATAAGGAACAATCATATATGTCATATAAGATGGAGCTTGGCCATTTAAGGCTTTATATGTGAGAAGGAGGATTTTAAATTTACCAGGAATCCAGTGAAGAGAAGCTAAGATAGGAGAGATATGATCTCCGTTTTTAATTTTTATCAGAACTCTGGCTGCAGCATTTTGGATCTGTTGAAGACTTTTAAGAAAGTGCTATTTGAACAGCATTTAGATTACTTGTAAACTACAGTTCAGAATCTGTTGGCATTCATGATTCTGTTTTTATACTTTCAAACCTGTGGGACCGTTAACAGACATATACTCAATGTTGATTTTTTTTCTTCTATCAACTTAGCTTTTATGTTTAGTTTGGATTGGTGTAAAAAAACATTTCTATTATATTCTGCACAGGTTTGGTACTGTATTCTACAGGAAATTTCTGCCAGGGATCCAGTTTGTCACGTTTACTGGGTCACATGACTCAAAATTGACCCTCTGAATGAGGGTCATATATATATATATATATATATATATATATATATATATATATATATATCAGCGTTCTAGCCAGGATATTTCAGTGCAGCTGCCCGCTACTCTTAAATTTGTGCTGCTACTTTGATATTTTTATCTGCGTGCCAGCACTTTAACTGACATCTATTCAATGCTTTTCAGCACAACGGCTCAGTACATTAAAAATTGTCAAAATTACACTGAGGTTAGGCCAACACAATCAATAATACTTGGATATATTTTTGGAAACCACAAGTACAGTAATGTCTAATCATGACAACTGATGATATCCATTTTCATAAATTGTTGCCTGCTTCTTAAATAGTTCTTTATCCACTCCAGAACATCCCACACAGACAAAACACTTGAATTTCAAGTTACCTCTAAGCTACAAAGACAGTTTTGAAAGAGGTAGTCAGTATGAAGTATCAGTATGCGCCAAGTTCTTTATAGAGTATTGACCTGGAAACCATTTAATATATCTGAAATTAAGCATGGGTCAATTTACCTGGTGTTGCTTTAAGGAGAAGCGCTATCAGCCGTGCAAATAAAAATCTTACTGTTGTGTTATTACATCTGGCAAGTGCTTTGAGACCATTAGACATAAAATGTCAGAGGTCTGACTGATTATTTATTTTCTGTACTTGACACAAACAGAATTAAGAACAAGATTGCTTTGCCATGAGTTTAGTTTGTAAACTCACTCACAAGTATTTTCCATTTTAGCTTTATCCTATAGGGATATATGGTCTTAAGCTATCCCACTTAAAATAGCTCTTTGCCCTAACCTAAAGTAGGACAAACTTTAGGAATGTCAAACTTACAGATGAGTTTTGTGTTGAAAAAAATACCCCAAAATCACTGGGTTCTCTTATCTTCTCACTTCCAAAGTTCAAAGATTAGGAGTCCGTAATGGGTGCAATGTTAGAACCCATGTTAAATAGGCTAGCACATTTAACATGAGCGAGCTGAGAGAGAGACTAGTGTTCCCCTGCACTATTCTCATGGGAAACTGTCTATTTCTGGGGATGCTGCTCCTGCATGAAGTACTTCTTCTCTGCCCTGTAATTTTCTCTGCACAATTTGATCACACAAATTTGACATTTTCTAACAACCAGCTGCATCTTTCCCCCAATGAAAATGTTCCACATGATCCTTTATCTATAATAAAATGTTATTAAATGGTTTCCAGAGAAGAACAGGGGTGTAGGATTTTAAATATAGCTGACTTTTGAGATGTTCTTTTTTCCAGTGTTGTACAAAGTGTGAAATACATGTTCAAGTGCTTGACGAAGGAACTGCAAGTGATTGCTTCGTGACACACTTCACACTCCAACCATCCACCCCTGTGTTTGTGTGATGGCCAGCTTTTGTGTTCTGAGCCTACAGAAGATCCTGTTGTAACCAGACTTCTACATTATCTAACTCGCCAGAGGAAATGGGGCAATTGGGTAATAGATCACAGATGATGTAGTGTGTTCAGTCTGTTTTTGTAGGTTCAATGATGTCTACTGGTGTGTATATGCACTTAATGTATGTGCACCATTTTTCTTAGTAGAACAGATTTTGGCCAAGGCAGAGAATACTGGATTTCCCACACCTGGTTATTAAATTGGGCCATTGTTTCTAGGTTCTTTGTATATCAAAGCAGTTGAAATCTAAATATTTCTAAAACATTGTTGTCAATGTCTAATTTAGGATTTTCTTTGTTCCTCTTTATATTCTAGAGTTAGTTTTAATATTTTCTAAATAGCTATGCTGAAAAGCAATAATGACTTCTTATTGAACTAAACATTTAGAAATCAGAATTTGCAGAAACCATGTTTTTAGTGATAGCTCTTGACAGTTTTTTTTTCTTTGTGAAAACAATCTTTAATATTTTATTTCACTTCTGCTATGTATTACATAGCATATATATATATATATATATATACACTCACCGGCCACTTTATTAGGTACCCCATGCTAGTAACGGGTTGGACCCCATTTTGCCTTCAGAACTGCCTCAGTTCTTGGTGGCATAGATTCAACAAGGTGCTGGAAGCATTCCTCAGGGAGTTTGGTCCATATTGACATGATGGCATCACACAGTTGCCGCAGATTTGTCGGCTGCACATCCATGATGCGAATCTCCCGTTCCACCACATCCCAAAGATGCTCTATTGGATTGAGATCTGGTGACTGTTGAGGCCATTTGAGTACAGTGAACTCATTGTCATGTTCAAGAAACCAGTCTGAGATGATTACAGCTTTATGACATGGCGCATTATCCTGCTGAAAGTAGCTATCAGAAGTTGGGTACATTGTGGTCATAAAGGGATGGACATGGTCAGCAACAATACTCAGGTAGGCTGTGGCGTTGCAACGATGCTCAATTGGTACCAAGGGGCCCAAAGAGTGCCAAGAAAATATTCCCCACACCATGACACCACCACCACCAGCCTGAACCGTTGATACAAGGCAGGATGGATCCATGCTTTCATGTTGTAGACGCCAAATTCTGACCCTACCATCCGAATGTCGCAGCAGAAATCGAGACTCATCAGACCAGGCAACGTTTTTCCAATCTTCTATTGTCCAATTTCCATGAGCTTGTGCAAATTGTAGCCTCAGTTTCCTGTTCTTAGCTGAAAGGAGTGGCACCCGGTGTTGTCTTCTGCTGCTGTAGCCCATCTGCCTCAAAGTTCGAGGTACTGTGCGTTCAGAGATGCTCTTCTGCCCACCTTGGTTGTAACGGGTGGTTATTTGAGTCACTGTTGCCCTTCTATCAGCTCGAACCAGTCTGGCCATTCTCCTCTGACCTCTGGCATCAACAAGGCATTTCCGCCCACAGAACTGCCGCTCACTGGATGTTTTTTCTTTTTCGGACCATTCTCTGTAAACCCTAGAGATGGTTGTGCGTGAAAATCCCAGTAGATCAGCAGTTTCTGAAATACTCAGACCAGCCCTTCTGGCACCAACAATCATGCCACGTTCAAAGTCACTCAAATCACCTTTCTTCCCCATATTGATGCTCGGTTTGAACTGCAGGAGATTGTCTTGACCATGTCTACATGCCTAAATGCACTGAGTTGCCGCCATGTGATTGGCTGCTTAGAAACTAAGTGTTAACGAGCAGTTGGACAGGTGTACCTAATAAAGTGGCCGGTGAGTGTATATATATATATATATATATATATATATATATATATATATATATATATATATATATATATATATATATATATATATTTTTTTTTTTTTTTTTTTTTTCAAGTAATTTAATAGTTTTAACAATAGAGTTACCAGGATTTTCAGTTTCTCATTCCCTCTACCAGCACTGGTTACCCCACCCACTCCTTGCTGTACTCTCCTGCCCCCTTCTTCTTATTGTTGCTACTTCTGAATGTTGCTGCCAACAAAAGAAGACAGACTCTTATGGGACACATTTCATGTGTTTGTCCCACCCAGTGCTGTAGCAGAGCAGGGGCTGCGCTAAAGGGACTTATGAATAATAATTTTTGCCTCCTAATAAATGGGGAACCTTGTTATTATTATATAAATATTTTTGCCTTCCCCCTCTACATTTTCCTGTACATTAAGTTATTTTCTTTTTACAGATCAGTTATCAACTGATCAATCCGCTGGCGGCTCATCAATCATTCTAGTAACAGATCCGGCGATACTAATGATGTAGTTATATTCAATTAAAATGATAGATTTTTTTTTTGACTTGGTCAAGTAAAAGACTCCTTGAGGCCTGAGCTAAAATTTAGATCTTAAATTGGTGGAATTCCTCTACAAGGAATTCCTCTCCTTAGGTGTGAGTGTGGGCGTGAATGTTTGTTTGTCCTGTTTGTCTCTGTGTTGCTCTGCGATGGACTGGCGACCTGTTCAGGGTGTACCCCGCCTCTCGCCCGTGGACAGTTGGAGATAGGCACCAGCACCCCTCGCGACCCCACTTGGGATTAAGCGTGTCAGAAAATGGATGGATGGATGGAAAACAATAATGGAACATTAACAAAGGGATTGTATTGTGAAAGAAGTTTGGGGGAACTGGAGCCTGATGAGAATTCGAAAACAATATTTCGAACACAGACGTTTCAGCCTCTCCGTTTTTTCTCATTTTTATTTAAATATTATTTAAATTTTCAGTAAAAAAAGTAGGGTTCCTTTCCACCACTGCTTATTCATTGTTTCTTCAGCCTCAAATAATCAGTTGATTGCTGTCAGGGAACATAATTTCTCACAAAATATCTTGTTCATAATTTTGCAGCTTCAGAGAATGAAAAATCATAAAAAAGTTGTTTTTCTGAACATCCTGGCAATGAAGGAGAACCGCTTTGTCTCATGTTCACACATCATCATCATAACAAAGAGCGTTGATGTTGCAAAATACTAGCCATTATGCATTTTCGCTGGGATTTGCCCACCTACTCAAACATATGAACACACCAACCTGGAGTTTTATTACGTGTTTGTACCACTGAAATGTAATAAAGTTGGAAGATAAATCAAAATCAATATTTGTTTGATTTTAGATTTCGTTGTTTTACATCAGAACAGAAAAAGATCAGGGGCATTTTTTCCCCCTCATTTGGCAAGGTCTGCTTAAAAACACCCAAAATAAGTTTTTTTCAAAAGTCCAAATAGGGAGCTTAGCTAATGTCTAAAATAAGAACAAAATTATTTATATGTGGCTCAGGGTCACCCCTGCAAAGCAGAAGCTTTTATTTGGTATTTATGTAAATCTGAAAGAGTGTCCAGTGCAGTGTGCAGGACTTTATCTATAAAAGCTGTTTTAAATACAACTGAGCTTTCAGTGCCTTTTATTTTATAAATTATACTCTAATTTTCAGTAAAACATAGGGTGCTTTCTGACTGCTGTCTACTGTTTGCTGCCACAGCCTTCAGCACTCAGCTAATCCTGCCAGCAGACGGGACTCAATGACATCATATCTGGTGTGCAGTTCTGATGTTGGAGAGTCAGATGTTCTTTAAGATTATATTCTTATTATCATAAACATTAAAATTAAGAAAGAAGATAAAATAATGGAGGGATATGGTGCATGTGTTAACGATTCGGGTCAGGTTCAGATTGGAATCCAAGAAATCTGCACAAAGCAGAAGATTCACTGCTCCTTTATTGAATTTTGTCTTGTGGCATGCGAAAACTTAATGAAACAACAAACAGCTAAATAAACAAAGTCTTGGTCCAACATTTCAAAACAGGATCAGAACCTACATATTATATTAGGTATTGGTATTATGAAATTGGAACTAAGATTTCAAAAGTAATACATTTTGCATATGTCAAGTATTAAGCAGAACCAATTTTTGAGCTTTGAAGTTTTTAAGAGTTTGTAGTTTATTCGGTACACCGTGGAGGAACTCTAAATCTAAGTTTTAATATTTACTGTGCTACTTGAGCATCAATATTAGCTTTTCTTTCAAAGCTGTTTATACTTAGTTTAACAAAAATATGTTTACAAAGATCAATGTGAAAGCAGAGTAACCAACAGCATAGACACTAACTTTTTAGTTTTCATTTGTGTTTTCAGTTATGCTTTAGGTAGCATCAAAGAAAGGTTTAGAAACATGGCTGTTAGCTTAGCGTTGAATTCTATTTTTTGTATGACTGTGCAAATTCTCAGTCATCAGGGTCATGGCAACTACAAAATAGGCCTAAATTGTTTTTTTAATTAACTTTTGATCTTTTGAGACCTACCAAGGATTATTTGTTAATTCTGTTGACTCAGACTTAAAAACTGGGTATTTTTAAAGTCGGCAAACAATTTAAAAAAAAGTACCAAGAAGAACAAACATTGCATCCAACACAGAGGAGAAAACAGAGCTGCAAAAAAAAAAAACATTATAAGTTCACAAGTGTCGATTTCCTGAGAAACTCAGGAGGATTTTCTCTAAAAACAACATACCAGGGAATTTCAAAGCCATCAACACACTCAGACAAACACTGGTTCGTCCCAAAAACAGAACAACCAAACCAAATCTGAGGGGAGTTGTAAATGTGGTCTAGTGCAGCGATGACTGCTCGGACTACAACAAAGAAACCAAACAAGAATTACTCAAATGCATGTCACAGGGCCAGCTGCTGTGGGCAATTTCTGAAAGAACAGATTAGGTCTTTTGGAGATTTGCTGAAATGGTTTCAGAATAATTGAGTAAAAGCGTGGTTGTCTCAGTTTAAGCTCATTCTGTCCTACTCTTTATGTTTACCGGAACATGCCTGTATATCTGTTTACCCCAACAGGAAAATGTTTCTCTGGCCGACATTCTCTCTTTGCGGGACAGCTGCATTAGTGAGGAGGAGGTGTGGGCCGTTTGTGCAGAGTGTGTTTTGGCCCTACAGAGCATCAGACCCTCCCACCTCTTCTACACCCTCTGCATAACACCAGACACTCTGGCCTTCAACGCTCATGGGAATGTTTGTTTCATGGAGCAGCTTAGCGGTGAGTCAACGAAACACAGAAATATTCTTTGCACATAGTGATGCTCTTTACACATACCTTCTTTGAAAAATGTTAAGTTTTCTAGATAAATCCTACTCACATACTGGATATAGCTTCCAACTGTAGAGGAGCCAACATGTGGGCTGTTAAATCCTACATGCTTGTTAATGCATAACACTTACACAAGAAATAAGCTTCATTCCAAAATTACATAACTGCAGAACAAGGAGTCTAAATGTGGTTTTGTCTCATTTAAAATCCAGTTTTCCATTGAATAAACCACTAACCCATATTTCTTTTAGATTTACATGGGGGCTAAACATATCCATAAACACATTGTGTAAAAAAAAACAATCTTTGCATTCTGATTTTACATTCTTTAGTTCATTCTAAATTCCTTTTACATCAGAAACATCTGGAAATGACCTGTTGTACTCTGTTCTGCTGCATCAACCCATTCCATGCCCAGCTTTGAGATGTCAGAAATTGATAAGTATTGATTCGATGAAAGGTGGTTGCCATGGGAATAGTTGTTGTGGCAACAGCTTGGATAAAGCCTTTTGGCTGTCATACTGCATTGCTTAGTCATCTATTTATACTAGCAGACTGTATAGCAAAGATATTACCTGTTAGAGTACTACAGCACAGCTTTTGGATTAAAAAAAGCAGAAATAGCACAAATAGAGGATCTTGAGTGTTTTTTTATGGGCTGAAATTCTTTTGTGTTTTCCGATTTTATTGTTCTGGATTTTTTATTTGTTAGATATGGAAGGAAAGGTGTCTTTAGGGTTAAACTCCCTTTATCAATAGTTATAATACTGCATGTTGGCTGTTTTGTTTCTCTACGAATTATGTTATGTAAAACCTTTATTCTAGCTTGTAGCTTATGGTAAATATATTCATTTACATTGGATATAGGCTAATTGAATCCAAATTACAAGCATATGGTGGCAGAGAATTCACTGAAGTTTAATTAAATTATGTTTGAAACACCAAACTTGGGGTAAATGCATAACAAAATTATGCTTTATGCAAACTATTGTGACCAGGTTTTGCTGGTTACGTTTTTATTTATTAAGATGTATGTGCTGATATTACCAGTAAGGAGGAGGAAGTCAAAAGACACGTTGTTTTATAAAAGTGTGTGAATGCTTAAAATGTCAGACTCCATGTATTGATTTAGAAAGTTTTCCTGTAATTCCCGTCAGGCGTGACTGAGCCCTTGTAAAGAAAACTGTAATTCAATCAGAACACTAAAATTCTCTTAGTATCTGCTTCAGGCCTGACCAGCATTTTTACTTTCACATGAGAGTTAGTCCTCTCAAAAATAGCCTGCATACCATCCAAGCAGTAGCCGTGCAAGTCCCACTTTTCTAAACTCATCATCAATTTTAAACCCCTGCACCACAATCATGTAGTTCTGAGGGCACAATCTGTCACGCCGCACTCCATCTACAATGTTAGGTTCCTCTCAAAATTTTTGACCCTAGGAAGTCACTTTTAAAATGTGCTGCATGAGATGTGGATGGAAGGGACAGAATATTCAGACAGTTTTGTTAGCAGCATTGTTGGATTTAGATCCTGGCCTTGAGTCTTTCAGCACTGAGTTTACATTTATCAATCCTGAATGCACACAAAACTGGGTCTGAAAGCTGTGTATGCCACCTTAAACATAAATGTAATGAGCTATGAAAATCAAACCTGCCGTCAAACTGTGTGATCCCTAACACCTACTGTGAACCATGCATATGGAGTACCCACATTTTGAAGGAACAGAAAACTGCTGAAACATATCAGATGAGGAAGTGAAGCCAGAATGCATCATAATTCCATTTAATTGGTAGGTTGAATTTATCTGATCCTAAACCAGTATGAGCTATATGTTTTTTCAATAAATAAAAAAGGTTTATCAGGCAGTTTAAATTATTTTAAATATTTAAATACCGTTGTGATAACCTGGCATAAGCCAGATGGATGCCTCTAGTTCACTTTGAATTCTACACACTATCCCTCTGGAAAGCCTCCTGTTGAAAGGGTTTGCAAAAGGGAGGGACATTCAGTACAATTCTTCCTACTGATTGGTTCAAACAACTGGCTCCTGCATCCCATGTCAAGCTTTTAGCCGATGCGTCAGCAGTAGCAGCAGCAACACATCACATTTTTGATTTGTTTCACAACTAGCAGAGTTAACTGATGAATCAAACTTTTACCAAATCCAGTCCGGAGGAACATGTAGGAACAGCTATAACCAGTGCACCCCTGTTGGTTTTACTTCAGCCTTGTGGCCTCTGGTTTTTGGGTTGATGTCATACATGTCACTGCACTTCACTGGTCCAAAACAGTTCTGTATCTATGCCGATGCATCTGCCCACCTCCTGCAAGAGGAACAATTTATCTTGTTTTCAAGGTAACGGTTTTGACAGCATAATAGTACTCGATTAATGCATTGGCTCTGCTGGAGGATGTTGAAAATGGGAGATCGCCAATTTAATACTCAGTGCTGCTTAGACTTAGACTTAGACTTAGACTTCTTTATTTGTCATTTTGTATGCACAGGGTGCATACAGAACGAAATTGCGTTACATACAGCTTATGAACGTTGCATTGATATTTCACAATGGCACGAGTTATAGAAAAATACAAAAAGTGCAGCAGTGGTCAAAGTGTGAACAGTGCAGAGGATAAGAGACAGTGTGCAAGTTGCAGTGGTTCAGTGCAAAATGGCATTTGTGCAAAAAATGCGTTATTGAAAAATACAATGAGATGAACAATTTAAAGGGCTAAAAGTTAAAAGTTCAGCAGCATTTGATGCCCGATAATGTGCAATAGGTGCAGAGTTCGGATTGTGGATCAAAGGTTCAACAGTCTGATGGCAGTGGGGAAGAAGCTGTTGCACAACCTGGTGGATCTGCAGCGGATGCTGCGGAACCTCTTTCCAGAGGGCAGCAGGGAGAACAGTCCATGGTGGGGGTGTGAGGGGTCTTTGATGATATTACGGGCTCGGGACACACAGCGCTGTGATGAAATGTCCTTAATGGAGGGAAGAGGAGCCCCAATGATTCCTTCCGCTGTCCTCACCACCCTCCTCACATTCTTCCAGTCAGAAGCTCTGCAGCCTCCACACCACAGAGAGAGACAGCTGGTCAGAACGCTCTCTATGGTGCTTCTGTAGAAGGTTGTGAGGATGGGCGGGGGCAGGCGGGCTCTCCTCATCCTCCGCAGAAAGTACAAGCGCTTCTGTGCCCTCTTCACTAGAGATGAAGTGTTTACAGTCCAGGTGAGGTTGTCCGTGATGTGCACCCCCAGGAACTTTGTGCTGCTGACCACCTCCACAGCTGAGCTGTTGATGAGCAGTGGAGCATGGTGGGGGCGGTTTTTCCTGAAGTCGACGATGATCTCCTTCGTCTTCTCCACGTTCAGGATCAGACTGTTTTCACTGCACCAGTCCACCAGCTGCTCCACCTCCTCTCTGTAGTCCCGGTCGTTGTCGTCCCTGATGAGGCCCACCACCGTGGTGTCGTCCGCAAACTTCACGATGTGATTGGTGGTGAACCTGGGGACGCAGTCATATGTCATCAGGGTGAACAGCAGGGGGCTCAGGACGCAGCCCTGAGGGGAGCCCGTGCTGAGGGTGATGACATCAGAGGTGTTCTGACCGACCCGGACTGACTGAGGTCTGTTGGTGAGGAAGTCCAGCAGCCAGTTTCGAAGGGGTGTGTTGAAGCCCAGATGTTCCAGCTTTCCCACCAGGTGCTGTGGGATGATGGTGTTAAACGCTGAACTGAAGTCCAGGAACAGCATCCGCACGTGGGTGTTCTTCTCCTCCAGGTGGGCCAGGCTCAGGTGAAGAGCAGAGGAGATGGCGTCCTCAGTGGAGCGGTTTCGCCGGTAGGCAAACTGGAACGGGTCGAGTGTTGGGGGGAGACTGGAGACGATGTGTTCCTTTACCAGCCTTTCAAAGCACTTCATCATGATGGGAGTCAGTGCGACGGGCCGGTAGTCGTTGTAGCAGGTGACTTGAGGTTTCTTTGGCACTGGGATGATGGAGGCAGACTTGAAGCATGCTGGCACTGTGGCTTGCTCCAGCGAGGTGTTAAAAATGTCCGTGAGGACACCAGCTAGCTGACCTGCACACTCCTTGAGCACCCGCCCAGGTATGTTGTCGGGACCTGGGGCCTTCCGCGGGTTGACCCTCCTCAGAGTCTTCCACACGTCGGCTGTGTCAAGGCAGAGAACCTCCTCTTCCTGATGTGGGACAGCCTTCACTGCTGGAGTGCGATTTAGTGCCTCAAACCTCCCAAAGAAGTTATTTAGTCCGTTTAGGAAGTCAGCATCAACTTCATCCACCGGGGCAGGGGGCGTGTTGTAGTCTGTGATCGCCCGTATGCCTTGCCACATGCTCCTGGTGTTGTTGGCGTCGTGGAACAGATGCTGGATTTTCTGGTTATGGTTCCGCTTTGCTAACCTGATGGCACGGTTCAGGGTGGCTCTAGCTGTCCTCAGTGCCTCCTTGTCACCAGACTTGAAGGCTGAGTTCCGTGCTTTTAGCGCGTGGCGGACCTCCTCAGTCATCCAGGGCCGTTGGTTGGCTCGGGTGGTGATGGTCTTTGTTGTGCTGACGTCCTCGATGCAGTGGTTGATGTAGGCTGAAACAGTCATGGCGTACTCATCAACATTGATCTTGTTGTCATATGTTGCTGCTGATTTGAACATGTCCCATTCAGAGCATTCAAAGCAGTCCTGGAGTGCATCCATGGCCCCCTCCGTCCAGACCCTCACCTGCTTCACTGTAGGTTTTGCTCTGATCAGCAGGGGTCTGTATGCAGGAATTAGCATCACAGAAAGGTGGTCTGAGGAGCCGATGTGGGGGCGGGGGGCTGCTCTGAATGCGTCTTTTATGTTTGTATAAACTAAGTCCAGAGTGTTCTCTCCACGAGTAGCAAAATCCACGTGTTGATAAAAATGAGGGAGAACAGTTTTCATATTCGCCTGATTAAAATCTCCAGCAATGATGAAAACGCCCTCTGTGTGTGTAGATTGCAGCTCAGAGACAGTCCGATAGAGAACACTCATGGCCTCCTTTGTATCAGCGCTGGGGGGGACATACACCGCTGTGATGGTAACAACAGTGAACTCTCTGGGCAGGTAAAAGGGTCTGCAGCTAACAGTCAGAAGCTCTATGTCCGGAGAGCAAAAACTTGAGACTATTCTAGCATTTTTACACCAGTTGTTATTGATGTAAACACAGAGTCCGCCTCCTCGGCTCTTACCGCTGAGTTCTTTGTTTCTGTCGGCGCGGAAAGTAGCTAGCCCCTCCAGGCTAATGGCGTTGTCCGGGGTTGCTGTTAGATATGCTTACATATGGAAGTGCATTTTCAGTTTAGACAAAGGAGCTAAACTTCTGAAACTGTCTCATAGAATGACCTTACCGGTGCAGAGTTTCACCAGCACACCAGACGACCACAAAGACATTCATTTCAGCTGATTAATTACTGCAGTAACACCAGGGACGTGGCCGTATGAGTATGTTGGTGCTGCATCAGTGTTCAAATCGGACAAATTGAGTCAGAGCAACAAAATGTCCTCTGATACTCATCATGCAGCGATGATAACAGCTAGCTGTTAACTTTCCCCATGAGACTTGACATTGCAAGCTGTTTCATTTTGGATGAAACTCCTACTTGCTGTGCTCTTTGGGAGAGATCTGATGGAGAGAGTGTGTTGAATCTGTGGGATTGCTCAACACTACCTACATGTTGTTATAAAATGCCATAGGCACACATGACTCACCATTACCCTGATAAAACTATATCACAAATAATGGATATGATTATGTCTCCTCTTTGATGCCTATTCCAGATGGTTACATTTTTTTCCTGCCAGCAGTGGTTCCAAATGCTTCTTTGACTACATCTTACTCAGTCATGTTCTTTGAAGTGTAAACTACTTTAAAGCAAGTAAGGAAAAATGACAAACAGAATAAATAAAGGAGAGAGGTAATGATGTTAAAGACATGAGAGTTGTGTAAACGTGAAGGGGGTAAATTACAGCAAAGTGAAAAAACTAAAGAAGATATCTGATGAATAAAACAATATACTGAAGCAAATGAATCGAAAGACAAATTTCAGCTCCTTTTACCCTAGAGCTGGAACAAACGGAGAACGATCATGACCCACTTTACTTCTGTCATTCCATCAACTCCTTCCTCCTTTTCTCCGACCCATCAAGTCCTTTTCTAATTCAAGTGAGCCCAACGTGTTTATTTTAATGCTGCTATTTACCTAAATGTTCGTTTTATAACAAGTATGAAACTAACCCATTTCAGAAGAAAAACGGGACGGATGCATCCCAATCCTGTCCCCTGTTTCACATCCTCCTGATACAGAGATTATCCGTAACACATGAATTATGCAAATGACTAAAAGCAGCTCCCCTTGCTATTTGGACTTCAGTGGTTGAAATAGCTTCATGCAAAAATCTCTAATTTATACTGTATATTGTTGCTATTAAAAGTTGTATGTAACAGTGTTGTGGAACAGATTTTAGACACGCTTAAATAAGCAGATTTTGGCTGTTTTTAACCTGTAGATGATCCAGATTGCTCCTTCGTCCCTCCGGAGTTTGACAACACTGGCAGCACATTTGAGGTAAGAGAAATGTGCTATCAAAGCAGAACACATGAGATACATTTCTTGATAAATAAAATAACAAATTCAGAGAGGTAGTCATTTTTAAATGCATTGATCGCAATGCTGAATTGATTGATATCTATACACAGTAAATTTTGCAGTGTTAAAGTAACACTTTAAGAGTTTAAATGTAACACCAATCGGAGTGCATTTGGTCCTTATCTGAATTAGTGTTAAAAATATCTGTCTATATAGCGTATATCTTACTCCAGTTGTTGTAAAACTAATAGAGTCAATGCACTTTGACACAGCATATTAAACACTGTGGAATTTCTATGCAAATTTTCAAAGAATAACATTATCCTAAATTAAAAGAATACTGGTCAGTCTTCTTTTAACAAGTTTAAGGCCACACGAAGTCAAAACGAACACGAAACGCTGATATTTTCCAAAACATTTGCCGTAAAGACGGAGACGTAAAATAAATGTGAGCGTCCACACGAATGCATGAAAACGCTGCAAAATGTATGCCAGGCCTGTAAATGGCGCTGTGGTGCCAAAGCAAAAATAAGCGACGAAATGTTGGGCATGCGCACTAATATTTGTACATGGTTGCCCTGCGGGTCTATTTTCGTGGTTAAGTCAAATTCAGGTGCTGAACTATGTGGTCGATATTGCTCTGTTCTTCCTGGAGATATTCCAGAAGAAGAAGATTCTGTTGTAAGCCCGACAGCAGGGTGAGTAGCATTAGCAGCAACCATTCAACACAGTACGGCGCCATTGTTGTTGTGATGTGTCGCGCGTGCGTGTTGAGAGGCGACGCTATGACGCATGCGTGTAAAAAAAAAAATGCGGTTAGAGCGTAGAGATGGAAACGCGAAAACGGCGTTTCAGAATCTTCCCACTCTGAAGGCTGAATAAAATAAAGATCGTTTACAGACCCCCGAAACGCCGGCTTCGTGTGGATGAGAGGCTGGTTTGGTGAAAAATTTGTGCGTTTAGGCCAGGGTTCGTCTTCGTGTGGACGGGGCCTAAGAATAAGGCCTCCGAAGAAAGAAATAAGATCAGGGTGTATTTGGGAGATTATTTTAGAAAAGCAGATAGGATGGTCTTGTAGATTGCCTTGTGCATGTGCAGTTCTTCAAAAAGTAATTATGACATTTCTTACCAAGATTTCCAGACAAACCATTCACTAGGCTTATAACACACTAATGAGAACTAAACATTACAGTTATTATACAGGATAATAAATGTAATATTCTTTAGATCTACTGTTGGCTGTATTTCCTCTGCATATCCTTTCATGAAAAAAAGAGAAAATAAAAGAAAAAATAAATAAATAAGACACGTGGCACAAATACTTAAATATGTTTTTTTCTCTAATTGGCTGCAGGGCCATATTTACTCCCTGGGCTCCACGCTTTCTGCTGCACTGAACTTTGTTATTGAGCCGGAGCTTGAGGCTGAACTGGGAGAAGAAGTTCAGAATCTGTTGCAGCAGATGCAGGAAGAGAAGCCTGAGGACAGACCAGAGCTGGAGGTACAAACACATCAGCAGAAATGCATTGAATAATTAGATGCCTCACTCCAGCTACTGCAAAATGGTAAAGTCACAAGTTTAGAAGAAGTTTAGAAGTTGTGTCACTGTTAATATCAATGAACAATAACTGAATAATCAAGATTTTGGTGATGCAAGAGGGAAAACTTAATGGAAGGCAGTGGCTTATACAGAGGTTTTTTTTAAATTACTGTGGCGAAATATAGATATATATATATATATATATATATATATATATATATATATATATATATATATATATATATATATATATATATATATATATATATATATATATATATATATATATATTTATATGTGTGTGTTTGTGTGTGTGTGTTTTTTTTTTCCCTGCACATTTAAATGTATTAAGTCTCTGATGCTTAGCAAACCAAGTGCAAATGTGATATAAGCCCAAATCAGCCTATGAGATTTTATTTTTCAGCAAAATAAAAAGTAAAATTTAAAACATTTGAGTTACAAAGTGAAGCTCAGATTACATATTAGAATAAAACGGGAATTATTTTTATTTTGTTTTCTTTTTACCGTATGGTGAGTTAAATGCTTATTTACTAGGTTAGTAGTAAATAAAATAGTTGTAAATTTATGTCCAATTTTACAAAATTAGGATTACAAAAAAAAAAAAAAAACATTAAGACAAAGGATTGATTTATTTTTGCAAACTTTAAAAATCTAATTTTTCCATAGGATATTCTGTTGCTGGCGAAAGAGCAGCTATCTCATACCTCTTCTGCAGCCGTATGCCGGAAATTGTCTTCAATCGGGCGAAGAGTACTCTCCATTGAATCGGTTTCAAACATTCAAGGTTACTATATTTATAATACCAGGGTAACTTTATCACTTGGATTTAGTTATACATACACTACCGTTAAAAAGTTTGGGGTCACCCAAACAAATTGTGTTTTCCTGAAAAGTCACACTTATTCACCACCATACATTGTGAAATGAATAGAAAAGAATAGAAGAGTCAAGACATTGACAAGGTTAGAAATAATGATTTGTATTTGAAATAAGATTTTTTTTTTTTACATCAAACTTTGCTTTCGTCAATGAATCCTCCATTTGCAGCTATTACAGCGTTGCAGACCTTTGGCATTCTATCTGCTAATTTGTTGAGGTAATCTGGAAAAATTGCACACCACACTTCCAGAAGCAGCTCCCACAAATTGGATTGGTTGGATGGGCACTTCTTGCGTACCATACGGTCAAGCTGCTTCCACAACAGCTCAATCAGGTTCAGATCTGGTGACTGCGCTGGCCACTCCATTACCGATAGAATACCAGCTGCCTGCTTCTGCTCTAAATAGTTCTTGCACAATTTGGAGGTGTGTTTAGGGTCATTGTCCTGTTGTAGGATGAAATTGGCTCCAATCAAGCGCTGTCCACTGGGTATGGCATGGCATTGCAAAATGGAGTGATAGCCTTCCTTATTCAGAATCCCTTTTACCCTGTACAAATCTCCCACCTTACCAGCACCAAAGCAACCCCAGACCATCACATTACCTCCACCATGCTTAACAGATGGCATCAGGCATTCTTCCAGCATCTTTTCATTTTTTTCTGCGTCTCACAAACGTTCTTCTTTGTGATCGATCCAAACACCTCAAACTTGGATTTATCCATCCACAACACTTTTTTCCAGTCTTCCTTTGTCCAATGTCTGTGTTCATCTTAATCTTTTTCTTTTATTGGCCAGTCTAAGATATGGCTTTTTCATTGCCACTCTGCCCTGAAGCCCAGAATCCCGCAGCCTCCTCTTCACTGTAGATGTTGACACTGGTGTTTTGCGGGTACTATTTAATGAAGATGCCTGTTGGGGACCTGTGAGGCGTCTGTTTCTCAAACTAGAGACTCTAATGTACTTATATTCTTGCTCAGTTGTGCAACGCGGCCTCCCACTTCTTTTTCTACTCTGGCTAGAGACTGTTTGTGCTGTCCTCTGAAGGGAGTGGTACACACCGTTGTAAGAAATCTTAAATTTCTTTGCAATTTTTTGCATGGAATAGCCTTCATTTCTAAGAACAAGAATAGACTGTCGAGTTTCAGATGAAAGTTCTCTTTTTCTGGCCATTTTGAGGGTTTAATTGACCCCACAAATGTGATGCTCCATAAACTCAATCTGCTCAAAGGAAGGTCAGTTTTGTAGCTTCTGTTACGAGCTAAAGTGTTTTCAGATGTGTGAACATGATTGCACAAGGGTTTTCTAATCATCAATTAGCCTTCTGAGCCAATGAACAAACACATTGTACCATTAGAACACTGGAGTGATAGTCTCTGGAAATGGGCCTCTATACACCGATGTAGATATTGCACAAAAAACATTTGCAGCTAGAATAGTAATTTACCACATTAGTAATGTATAGAGTGTATTTCTTTAAAGTTAAGACTACTTTAAAGTTATCTTCATTGAAAAGTACAGTGCTTTTCCTTCAAAAATAAGGACATTTCAATGTGACCCCAAACTTTTGAACGGTAGAGTATAGATATATATATATATATATATATATATATATATATATATATATATATATATATATATATATATATATATATATATATATATATATATATATATATGTAACTGGAGTGTGTAACAAAAGTAATTTCCCTCTAGGAATATTAAAGTATTTCTGATTCTGATAACTTATTGCCTTTTTGGTGTCCAGATGGATTTTCTTTTCTTGTGTCAATTTGTGTCTTTGTGCATTCGCAGAGGAACAGGAAGAATCCTGGGAAGCAAGATGGCAGCATTGCAAGGCCAGATGCATTTTGAAGAGACTGAACTCGGAGGATAAGAACAAAGACCTAACAGACAACTTTGTGGGAAATAGTGTATCCAGACAGCAGGTTGTAACATCTTTAATTACATTCAGTTAAAAAAACTTTATGAATCCAGAAGGGAAATTAGATGTCATAGTTGCTGGAATTATAGAAGTCTCTCTAAAAGAGTACTATGAGTTGGAGGGATTTTGCATAGTGGTCTGTATATCAGTTGATGAAGCTCAGATTTTTGTGGTTATACAGTCTTTTAAAGTAACCAGCTGATACATTGTAGGGTCACATCATTGGACATGCAATTGGCCATGTGTACTTTCAAAAAGGGCCAAATGAAAGACATATAATAAAAAAATATATATATATATATATACAATATAATATATATATATATATATATGTGTGTGTGTGTGTGTGTGTATATTTATATATGTGTGTATGTATGTATGTACATATGTAACAATCTTGGTTCTGTTGGTTTTCAATTTTATGTTTGTCCATGTTTTTTTTTGTTTTCTAGCTTTATTGGTGTGTTCTGGATTTATTTAAGTTTCTTAGGTTTTTCTTTGCTTGTCCTCTGTTGCCCCCTTGTGTTTTGTTTTCCCTTGGCTTCCTCGTCAGCTCTACTTACACCTGCCCCTTATCAGCTAGTTAGTCCTGCCTTTGTTCAGTCAGCCATAAATACTCTCTCTGTGCAGTTCCTCAGCGCTGGTTCCGAGTCTTTCCCCCATGTTTGCCTGGCTTCTAGTGCATGTCTTCCCTGATGTCTCCATGATCCTGTTTTTTCTTGCATTTTTAAGTTGGATTTTGGATTCCTGCCTCTGTTCATGTTTTTATTCATTAAATCTTCAAAGAACTCACCCCTGCCTCTCAGCCTCTGCATTTGGGTCCTCACAAAAACCTCCAACCAAATCTCGACTATATATATATATATATATATATATATATATATATATATATATATATATATATATTCTTTTTTGCAACTAGTAAAAGTATCTATTAAAAAGGGTGGACAAACTCGTCCCCATTTTCACTTACCGGTGGTGAGTCTGACATTGTGGAAAAATTGCAAATCTTTTGGAAAGGGAGCTTGTGTGAGTGATGCAAACAGCAACTTGTAAACAGAGCATGCACGAGGAGAAATTGGCATGTGCATTTTTTTTTTGGATAGGGCGGGTCTTATAAAAAATTTGTGAAAATCGTTGACTATACCTTTAAGTATAAATCTAGGCTAAATAAAAACTAAATGTGATGGACATCTTCAAGCTCTTAGTGCACATTTTTGCCCTATTTGCTCTTTATATAGTAAAAATGGGAGCATAGCAAGCCTAATGCTGGCTCCTTGGCAGACATGTAAGCTGTTCTTTTAAACTTTGGAATCTCTTTGGAAAATAAATTTTTTAGGATCCTTTTAGCAATTTGATTAGTAATCAAATGGCCCTTATAATGATATAATGTATGTTAAAGCAGATATTGTGTATCAATCTTAGGATAAAAAAAACTGTCATACATTTTTAGTTATGCCAACAAGTCATAATAGATTATTAAGCTCTTTTATGAGCGAAATGTTGCTTTTTCTATCTTATTTATTCATAAAACTTTAGCTTTTCTATTGAATCGAGATGAAATCACACCTCAGTTGTGTTCCTTCAAAGCTATTCTATCACTATTACAGAGTGACAATGCCGCTAATGTTTTAAAAATCTGTCTGGCCTAGAGGGCTATATTTTCTGTCACAATACTCCAGTGTACAGTATAAGCCTTTTTACTTGTTCTATTGATTTCTTCAGAGCAGATAAAAAATGACAATTCCCTCCTTCTGCAGGTGTGTGGGGCCTGGGATTCCTCTCTATCGGCAGAGGATACAGAAAGTGGTGAGGCAGAGGGCGTGATTCTGACCGATGAGATGGATTGTCGGTCTTACAACAGCTCCCCAGTGAAGAGGAAATATCAGCAGAAGTTCAGGGGAGCAAGGGGAGCCCTGAATCGCTCTTGCTCGGTGCCAGACTCCAACAACCCTCCTTGTGTCTCCACTTCACCTCATGGAGATATAAGTATTCCTGTTTCTGACCTGACAGAGATAGGAGCTGATGAAATTACAGGCTCAAACTCTGTGTGGAGTAACAGACTTCAGAGACTAAACCGGGGGCAATCCTGTGAGTCCTACCCTCACTGTAGAGCTCAGGACCAAGAGGAAGTTTCCCAAGGAAAAGATCATATAGATGCTTATATAGAAGAATTAAATGATCAAGCCTGTGTTAAAAGCAGGTCACATAGCAGTATCCAGGACTTGGTTTCATCCTATACGTCTTGCCAAGGGCTGGAGATGGCACAGACATCTTTCGAGGAGGTGACCAACACCAAAAGCAACATTTCCAATTGTTATAACTATATGACCAAAAGCATGCTGTGCCTAAATGAAGAATCTCAAGATGAGGTTAGCCACACTCAGAATACGCTTTATTTTTCTCAAGATGGTTTTGCACCACTGAATCTCCTTAACATAAACAGTATATTTATGTATAGTTTCTTTTAATAATGGATGTATAATGTCTATAATGGGATTTCGGGTTTGGGAACCCCTATTTGAAAGGAGATCTTAAACTAAGGCCAATGACAGAAGAGATAGTTTTTTGTCAAATCCCCTTATAAGATTATACTAAAACTTAGCTGTGGATTCTGAATAAGAAGTATTTTTCAATATTATTTCACACAAGGAAGCTTTTCATACCTTTTAATCAAAGCTTCTTAACCAATGATACTATAAAATAAAAGTGTACAATACTTTTGGTTTCTTTAGATAAATATCGCAAACTTCATATCAGTATTGGTAAAATGTGCGATCTTTTTAATGTTGTTGTCGAAGTAGGCTTTACCCCATTTTGGACCTTTATTTTATATCACCAATACTCAAATTCTTTTTGAAAGCAGATTGAAATAACCTTACATAAAACCCCTCGTATGACTAATCTTTCTGCCAACGTTGGAGCTCCTGAGTCTTTACCTGTTGTTTGTTCTTCTCTCTGCAGTGGATCTCTCTTAGGGAGCTACTGACTCATAGTGGACGGAGACTTACGGTTAATGAGCTGTGGGCTCTGTGTTACACCTGCCTGTCTTCATTGCAAACTTATACTGACTTTCCAGGTGATTTTATTCCTGACCTTTTTCCGTGTTTGTGTTACCAGTCCAGTTTTTGATCCACTTTTGATCCCATCCTGATTTCTAAATCTCCCAATACGGATATTTTCATTGTCAGATCACTTCTGCTTCAACATTTAACCATATTGGTGTCATGATATTATATAAGCTAAGCTTTCCTTTGTCAGTGATAGGAACCTGAGATCACATGACCAGGGGGCTAATTGCAAATTGGTTTTGTCATAGATGACATAGAAAGCTGGCTGGTGTATATCTTTGTTTGTTCTCAAATTGGGATGGTAGTAAAAGACTCCTTTACAAAAGCAAAGTTAATTTTTCAACAATTTTTGCTTGCTTTCATCTCAATGTCTAATTTCTTTCTTCTTTATTAGCCTATCTATGCCTGGACACGGTGTACGTGAACTGCAAAGCAGAAGTAATTTTTCTAAAACCCAAAACCATCGGTAGGTGTAAATTTTTGTTAGCTATCTATGCATTGACAGTTGTTTCTCAAAATTAGAAAGTAAATCTTGAAAGTCCATTTGCTTGAACTGGTGATCTGATGTCTCTTCTTCACAGATTCCCATGATGGTTTTTTTCTTGCACCTGAGTACCAGGAACATGGAATTGTAACTGAGAAGGTCTGTGTGGAAAAAAATGCACTTGCCTTGTTGTCAGATGAATTTGTTACTTCAGTTGTAGTTACTTTTCCAATCTTTTTTTTTTATATCCCCTTTATGTATTCAGGTTTGTGTGTATGGGGTTGCTGCAATCCTCTGGGCATCAGCCAAGTTCAACCTATCACCGAATCAAAAGTTGGCGATGCCTCGTAAAATGAAGAGACTGCTCTTGGAAATGGCAAAGAGGACTCCCATGGAGAGGCCAAGCATAGTCATGGCTAAAAAGGTATTGGTTGGAATAATATTGGATTGGGAGCCAGGCCGATGTTCTTTAAAGTTTTCTGCAGGTTGAAGAGAAAAATAATGCTTTATTTGATACAGCACATCATAAGAGTTTTAAAAACATTGAATGGGTCAATAAAATTTTCTTTCAAAACTCAATACACCAAACTCAGTAATGGAAATACTACTAATTATTGTTCTGTCATGATTTAACTAAAGATCAGAACCAAATGCAGAGAAACCATTACATAGAGACCAGGGAAAAATTTTAACAGGTTTATTGAATTTGGTGGAGATTCCAGTGTTGCTCTGAACACTGGTCAACCAGAACTGAAAGGTGAGGGGAAGACACTGCGGATAGTTCAGGTTCAGTGGGAGAATTGATTCTCCAACTTGAAGAGGAGAATAGGTTGGCAGACTCACATTTCCAGAGATTAGGTTGACTCTTAGACTCCAGTAGGTGAGGAATGTGTTCCGGTGTTTGTCTCATACGGTGGAGGGCGGAACAGGGTTACCCAGAATGCGGTTGCTAGTTGTTGAACGGAGAACGACTGACTGCCACTCAGATTTCCTGCAGTATTTGAACGGAATGTTGTGCAGATGAATCCCTTGCTCAGTGTGAAGCTCAAACGTTTCCCCGGGGAAAGTGGATCCAAACCACCGGTTTATTTCCTCAGCTCAGTTTGAAGCTCAGTAGATCCTTCCAGGGGGAGAATGTCCAAAAAATCCAGTTTGCAGGATGATTTCTCAAAACTGGTAAACACTCTGGGGTCGAGGTAGTGGCAGTCAGCAGCTTAAGAACACTCCGTTAACAAGGTAACCCCTTGCAGGTGTGCGAGGAGGAGAATCAGAACCAGGCGCCGCCTGGTGGAGGAAGGAAGACAAACACACAGAAACACAGACCACACAGACTGGAGTCCTAACATGTTCATATATAGCTTTTGCAGAATACTACACAGCCTCAGCAGCAACAAAAGATTGAAGTGTTTATGTGCACCCGTAGAATAGAACAGGATAGGATAGAATAGAATAGATATATATTTTATTGCAGGTTTCTACAGGCTTATAACTCTAGTTTAGGGGGTATTTTAAATTACTAAGCTCAGCCTTCTTAGAAAATGCTGGCGAGGTTTTATCTTACTTTGCACTGAGGTGGATTTAAGTCTGGGCCCTGTCTTTGCTACTAGATAACTTTAACAGACTGATCCTAAAGGGCTCCTGTGTACTTCAGGCAACTGCCCACTCAGTGTCACGTCACTAGGCTGGTCGTACTGCAGAAGCCTGGTGATTTACCATAATCATGCTTCACATTTGGGATTATTTGGCCATTTTAGCTCATGTGATCTGATCTGATCATCATCCAAGTGAAGTACAGGTGGTTTATACAGACAACTCAGTTAAATTCAGTTCAATGATGCTTATTGCCTAATTATTTCCAAAAGGTAGAAAGCACAGCTTTCAGTTAACCAGCTTTTACCAGTAAATGGATATAGTTGTTTCCAGTAAGGATATCTCTTAATATTATTTCTTTTAGCCACAGCAAAGAATCTCATGAGTAAAGAAACTATATCATGCTCAGGGTTAACAATTATGTTTATTTTTATTTCTATTTTTTTTTATGAAGCATCCTTCTTGGCACAAATAGCTGTAGAGGTTCCAGAACAATTCCCAGAGCAGAGCCTGCCTAATTTATCAGCTTGTTGAGCTTTTAAGGTCACTTGCTCTGATGCTGATACCTCAGGAGGTGATAGCAGAAGAGATTTTACTTTCCACTTTTCCTAGAGACTTCTAGAAGACCAACACCCTCTCTTCTTCTAACATCATGAACAATAATGGTAGCAATTACTGTTTCTCCTGAAATCAACGATCCTGCCAGATAACTGCAGGGTCAACCAATTTCCCTAGTGGCTAATCTCTTTTTTAATACTAATAATTAAGTCAGATTTTCTTTCTTCTTGCATAAAGAAGACACACTCTGCTCTCTTTATTCTGCTCATACCCTCAGTTAGAATATTGTACAACTGTTGTAAACAAAACATCTTAATTTGAGCTGGTTTCAAATTATTTTGACTGTCCTGCTGAATATTTTAAATCCTATGCTGTTTTTTTTATTATTATTATTATTATTTGTTCCATTTTTCCCCCAGAACTGCCTCTGTAATCTGTCTCGTCAGTGGATTAGCGCTGAGACCGTCTGGGGCAACCTCATCAGTAGAGTTCACCGGGTAAACCTTTTTCCATGTATACATCTGAACTGTTTTAGTTTTATCTGTTTGTTTCCTTGGATTATTAAACCCCAGAGTCAGAGCCGATTAACCCCTGTTTCATGCCTGTCATACTTTATCTGCGTTGCATGATTTGAGAGACTGCATAATTCTTTGTCATGGTCATGTCTCTTTTTTTAGCCAGCTTCCAAAGGCCATGATACAGAAGATTTGAGTGAAAGTGATCGTCAACAGCGCCCAAATGATGAATCCCAACAAAACAGTGGTATGACAGCCCTATTTATTTATGAATGACCCTCATGCAATTTAAAGGATTTTGCTTTGAAATGTTCAGCAGTTGAAACTTTTTATTTTAAACTATTCATATCAATTTAATTTTTCAGACCTTTTACTTTTTATGGAAAACTTAACAGTTGGCTAATGAATAGCTAAAAAAGTGTGGCTTGCATTTCTATTTGTCTTTATTGTGATACCAAAAGTTAAAAATCCAGTGTAACTGATGCCTTCAGATGACAGGTAGTAAGTACAGTAAACTGAGACCATATTCTTTGATTAGTGAATAAACAGCATCATGAAGACAAATTAAATAATGGTTTAGCTCTAGGTTCAACACATTAATTCCTATAGCTATATTAACAAATTAGGACATGAAACAACAAAAGAAGAAAAAAAAAACAGGTTGAAAATATGGCTTTTGTTGCCAATATCCTTTATTTTTCACCTTTTTAAATAAAATTGTGTAGAATATTTATTTAAAATTTAACAGGCATAATTTATTTTTTCAGATTAGTTCCAGATAGATAGGTAGATAAACAGGCAGACTAGACAGACAGACAGACAGACCATACATACATACAATGATTCTACGTTGACTAATTTTTTAGTCCCAAACTGCAATAAAGCTGTATTCCAATCACACTTAATTAGATCAAAATATTACGACTGATTTACATGCCAATTTTTTTTTTATTTCAATTGGCCCTTCTTTCTGATTACTTATTTATTTCAGAATAATGTTCAGCCAAGTTACAGAACCATGGTTTAGATTAAAGCATATGTATTTGTGTGGATGACCCAGTCAAAATCCAGACCTCAATGCAATCAGGATTCTTTGGTTTTGCTTAAATATTGCTGCTTGCTGATGTTCTCCATCAAGCCTTAACTATGTTTGGTCTTTTTGCAAAGAGGACCACAAATTTCAGTTTCTATGCTTAAAATTCTGTTAGAGACATACCCAAAAAGATTGATCCTTGTAATTGCAGCAAAAAGTGATTCTACAAAGCTCTCTTTCAGGGATTTGAATACAAATGCTGCTTTACGATGGTCTTTCACATATAATCAATATAAGAGTAGTAGTAATGTGTAGTAATTAGTAGTATTAATGTGTTATCATTTGAAAGAGGATGATGATCATTGCCATATGAGTAGATCTTCCAAAATATTCTGCATTTCATTTGTTACAGAGTGTATTGCATGAGACAATATCACTGATATTGTATCTGGGATTGTTGTAACCACGTATAGGCTTTGTGCCCATGGCCACTGAGAGCCGATTAGCTCCTGTACCTGGCCCTGTTCCCCACAGCTATCCAGTCAATATGGAAGTCCAGCTTCCAGAGGCCTTTACCTCTACTGCGACACACTTCACCCCCATCATCCTGACCAATGAAAGGGAATCAAAGGAGGAGGAGGAGGAGAGCCACCATCGGAGAACTGCCATTGTAGGGTAGGACATAAAAACAGTATATGAGAGTAATCATTATAATCTATTCAAATATGTTGCATGTATAAACTTTATAGTGACATTTGAACATCCAGAATAAAAAAAAATATAAGACGAGACAAACTCAAGATATCACAGCATTTCAAATGTAACTGGATTGTTTCTTTACAGGACAGCAGACCTACTCGGAAAGCAAAATGCTCCTGCTATGGGAACCTGCCCTCATATCCTTCCATATCGACTCCCCTCTGAAGCCAATCTATATTCACAAGAAGTGACTGATGTTCGCACAGTCACAAGCTCTTCCTCTATGGCATCCAGCCCCTCACCTGATGACTCTCCTTCAGCTCTTCCTGATGTTTCCCTCGTAGAAGTCTCTCTTCCCAATCTCGCTTCCCCTTTAACCACTAACCTCAATAGTTGTGGTATTTACAACAATTACTTATTTTGGCAGGATCCCATGACAGGACATCTTTCTTTGGTTCCCGTCAAAGTCAGGGCCCCACAGTCACTACATGGGTTGGATATAAACTCTGCTTTGGTTCCACAGTCTTTGCGAGGCCTGATAACAGGTCACAGGAGGAACGAAGATCTGTTTATTGACTCTGTGAGTGTGAGAGTAAGGCCAGGGAATCAGGATCTATTTTATTGCAGAGATGGCTCAGTGATTTCTGACAACTTTCTGGATCACTCTTCTCATCAAGTATATGATGGACAAACAGAATCTAAAACACAAGGTGAAAAAGAGTGTGCTTCCAGAATTCATCACGCCCTGCAGGATGTGTTTGACCTTCTTAAAGGACACTTTTCTACCAATGGATTTTTAGACAATGGCTGTCAAGACATCATCATGGGTATGTATACTCTGGAAGGTACTAACCAGTCCAATTTTATGGTGAGGAAATCCAATAAATAAATCTGTGCATTCATGTTTGTACAGGCCAGAATCATAGTGTAGGTCTACAGAGCTCTCAAGACTTGCTTGCCTTCTTTGTACATCAGAATTAGAATGCCTTTAATTGTGAATATATACACAGTACAATGAGATTAAAAGCCACCAATATCAGTGCAATGACAGAGTAGAAAATCAAAACCTGTGAAATATATAAAATATAAAATGTGGACATTGATGTAAGGGGCGGAGTCTTATGTAGTCATATGTTAAATGCCCTGAAAAAATCTCAATATACATTTTTCTTTAATCGCTTATTGGCATCCATAACAACTCTTCTAATCATGTTTAAATGGTCCCAGGACCATTTAATTGGTGATGTAACGCATTCTGTATCCCTTTGATATAAGCCTATTCACTTGTTCTAAGTGAAAACAAGGAAAACATGCCATTCAAATAATGCAAACCCTCTTTTACTGGCAGAGGAGCTGGCTATAAGTGGATAGCTACTTGACTAAACTTGCCCATATAAACTCGAAACAACTGAAAAATAAAAACTTTTTTATCAAAAAAGTTTTTAAGGTTCATTCAAGTGTTTTGGGTTTTTTTTCCTTTTGTATTTAAATTCTTACAATTTACAAAACTGCAAGGGAAAATAGTTTTTACCAGCTGGACCTTACTGCCTGTAAAAAGATGAAGAAGAAGGCTGGAAGTAATTGGATGATGATGGCGCCCTCTAGAGCTGTGTCTGAAATATGGATATATCTCATGTGTTAAGATCTGCTGCTGCCATTTTGTTTTTGGAGTTATTTCGTAAACAAACTTATGCATGTGCACTTTTAATAACATTTCTTATTTTATGGAAATACAGCCATTGAAGAACCTTGCATTTTAGAATTTAGCAGAATACCTCCATAGTTTTACATTCATTTGTAATGGAAACACAGCTAGTTACATCTAGCCCTTACTTCATTTAACAGTAAGCTGCTTTGTAATGCCTACATTTCCCTTCTGCGCATGCAGGTCACTTCGAAGACCAAATAGGTTTAGACTAAAGTGTGATAGCGATAAGATTTTATTAGTAGTATAAACAGGCCAAAAATATCAGTTTTCAGAAAAAATAATCTAATTAATAATCTAACTAAAACTAAACCTTTTGTCATTTCTTTGTAGTTCTACTAAGAAATAACACTCCAGACCAGAACATAGGAGATTACATCACTTTTTTTAAGCTCAGTTCACATAGTAACTTGCTATTAAACCCTTTGAAAATATTTTTTTTTATATATATTTTTTTCCAGGCGAATACCTTTTCTCTTTGAAGGGACTCCAGTTCCAGCAGTTTGCCCGTGTTGTGAAGGAGAGATTCTGTGATCTGCACTGGGAAGATGATTTGCTGGGTGTGTTGCATTGCCTGGTGAACTAAAGCTGCTCAGCACTGTGAGCACGTCTTGTCTTTGATTCTCTTTATACAATTATTGACTTTGTAAATGACTGCTCATGTGAGAAGGGGCTGAGCCTGTTTGTTTAAGTCTTGCTGCTCTTTTCTGCTTTGTTTTCTAAGTAAACAGAGCAGGTCACAATGTCTCGATCTCCAAAAGCATTTAACAGGCTGATGAGCTTAGATTTGAGTCACTAACTCTGATACGAGTCATTAATCAAAAGTATCTTGACCTCCTGCTACGTATGTCCTATACTACAAATGTGTTCAATTCAGTAATCATTCGAAATTATTCAAACTCCTTAAAAAAATATATTTTCTATACTAATTGCAATTTTTTTTTGCTGGGATGTAATGTGATAAACCGAAACAAATTGGAACATTTTCAGAGTTGAAGACAAAAAAAAAAAAAAATGCATTGTTTTAAGTTTGTTTTTGGGAATATAAATCTGTAAAAGGTGTCATACATTTGTATTCAGTGACTTTTACTCTGATACCTCCAAGTAAGATTCAGCACCTTCAGACGACAACTGTTTGTGTTTCACTGCTCAAATATGACCTTTATGGAGGAGTGGCCAGAAAAAAGGGCATTGTTGCCGCGTACCACCCCCCCAAAACCCCACAAAGACCTTTTAAAAATGATTTTGCTGTATTACTCAGCCCCCCTCCCCCTCTCTCCAAATGTAATATTATTGGTGACATTAATAAACTACATTTGGAAAATTGTAAAATGACTTTCTCCTTGATGTATTCTACTGTTCTGGTCCAACTCCATCCAACTGCTGAGCGATTGAACCTCAGATAACAGACAATTTCCTCCTCTCATTTAACATTTCCCTCCATATCTCTCTAACCGCAGACACACATTTCTAGCCATCTCTCACAACATTCTGCTCGACAGAGTTTCCTCCCTTTGCATCATTCACATCTCCGTTGGTTGCTTTTATTCCTACCTCAGTGGACACACTCAGTCCAACTTAACTCCTTTAGTTCATGCACCTCTCCTGTAACTGCTGGTATGCTTCAGGGTCCCAGTAAACCTAATATTATCCTTTTTTCCCCCCTCTGCAATATTTTCCATTAGTTTATTGTTCATTTCCATTACCATGTTGATGACGGCCAATAGACCCACTTCTGTGCTCCCACCCTCTTCCCTCACATCCTGTTTGTCTCAAATAAAATCTCGGTTCACTTCCAACATTCTATTATTAATAGTAATGAAACTGTCCTCTTTTTTATAGGAACTTAATCAGTATTATCCACAATAGACAGTTTTTTTTCTCATTTCCACATTCTTTCTGTCACCTCAGTTTAAGAGTCCTCCTTGCTAGCTTCCTATCTTTCTTATCTTACATTGTTAATGTTACTCAATCTACATATTTCTCTCTGTGCAACATTAAAGCCATACTGTGTAACTTTTAGCCATTGGAGTGCTAGACATTCCCATTTTTAGCGCCCCTGAAAGCAACTGGGAGACCTGCACTATCACAAATTAAACAGCCCCCCTCCATGTGTTGAGAAGTCATAGAGTTACTTGTAAAGACAAGGAAACATTCACCCCTCTAGATGAAATCCTTTATCGGAGAGTTAAAAAAATATGTTTAATCAGGTAAGGTTATTTCTGCTTTGTTGCCTAACAGCATCAGTTCATTATCATTATGTTCCTGTAGTAAAATAACAATGTGACACTGAGTCAAAACACAAAGATGTGAGATAAAACATATAGAAAACTGAAGAATAAGGATCCTTAGAAGAGATGTAAAAATGCAGAGGTAAGAAAACTGTATCCATCTGGAATGTGGTCTGTATATATTCACATAAAGTCTAGCTTGTGCTGAAGCAATGTATGAACATTTTGGATGTTTGCTTCATTTTACAGCTTCAGCTGTTTAATGTCTTCCTGCTAACAGCTTTAAAATAAACTTTCTGTTTCTAGTTACTTTTGATGACATAATCCTAAATGATTTTCCTGATGGAAGTGGGACACACTGCACATAGGGTGGGATATGTATGTGTCTGGCCCTCTTCTGGACTCTTGCAGTATAAATGGAGTCTGGATCCAGTAAACAGCGTCCCACAATCCCCCTGTGCTGTCTTCACTACCCATCCCAAGTCCTTCCTCCCCTGTGCCGAACAGCTCGTTTACTACACCATCCCACTGATAGACAGGAGGTTTTCTATTGTTGCTTTATAAAGGTTGGGGTCAAGACCAGTCCATTTCAACTTTTTGAGAAAGAAGAGAAGCTGTTGGCCTTTCTTCATTAAGTAGGGGATGTTCTCTGTCCAAGCAAAGTAAGAAGAATGCTCAGGAGCTTTATGCTGCCCACCTGCTCCATTCCCTCCCCCTGTATGCTGAAGGGAGCATGCTCAGTCCTCCTATACCTCCTGTTGCTTACTATAACCTCCTAGCTCTTGCTGGGGATCAATCCAAGGTATTATTTTTGTACATTAAGCAATTTTCCTAAAAAGTTACAATTTATTTTAAAGGGTTTTACTGAAGAAGTCTAATTAAATTTAAACTTTTAATAAAAACTTAAATGTGTTACAAATTCCTCATTGTGTGTATTTGTGTTCATTGAATCACCAGAGTAAGTAGAATATAGCCGGTCAGCTGTTTTAAGTTAACATTGTGAAGGAGAAGCAATTCTTTGTTGTATTTGAGTAGATTCTTAACCACTTAGTAGCATTAAAGATGGAAAGTTTTAAAATTATCAAGTTTATCTACAATTATGTACCTCTTCTGATTGCCAAATTTTTTTTGTTTTTTTTGTTTTTTTATCTACCATCTCTTCCCTTTGTGTTAATTGAAATATTGGGTAGGATATAGGTTGGGATGAAGATGCAGACATGGTTCTTATGACAATTTGAAGATGTTTGATTATGGAAGCTGTACGATCTGCAAAACAATTAGAAAGACTCACCAGGACATATTGTTCTGTAATTGATGAACTACATCTAAACTGAGTTTTAATTAGTTAAAGTTTTAGTGCGATTAAATCCAACTAGCATCTAAACGGTAAACAAAAAGAAGCAGAATAGTAGAGTCATCTTTGATCGTGATGACGTCTTCCCTTCTTCTCTGATACACCCAGCATTTAAAAGAGGTTTTAATATAGTACAATCAAAGCAAGAACTAAAAGCAACAATTCTCTCTATGGTAAACGTTTGTAACACAGGGCAACATTTTTGTGCACACTGTAGATGCACATAAATCACTTCTTTGTTTGTCAATGATATGCTTAGAATAAGCCCGTAGCAATTGGCGGAGCTTGCTCTTACAAACATGATATGTGAAAGCCAAGCTGGGAGTTCAGCCTCTAAGTTCTTTTACCCCCCTTTTTATCCAGGGAGAAGAGATCTTGTGCTCAGGGCAGCACACTAAGAGACTCTTTAATCTGCTGTGTTAGGGAGACGTAGCAGCTTTGCAGGGGGATGGACATGCATTACTTCTTGCTGTAGGCTGGTTCACAAGACTGGACTGTGGAGGGAAGTTTTCTGTGATATTCACACTCTTGGAATGAATCAGAGGAGATCTGTGTTTATTTATCACTCTGCCCATTCAAAACCTTTGTAAAAATACATGTGGATGGCATTTTGATAAGCTGCAGAATGGCTCTTTTTGTCTTTAATCTTAATTTCAAATCAGTATTTTACTGACTAACAGAATTTTATTCCTTTTTAAAACTTCTATGCTCAGTGTTTGATCTTTCCACATCCTAAAATCTTTTTTTGCTTGTATTTAATTATTACTAAATTGAATATTAATAGTAATGTTTTAACAATGAATGATAATGAATTCACTAATTTCCGCCAGCTTTCAATGCACTGTATTATTTTCTCTCTTCTGAAGCGCCCCATGCAGAGATCGTAATGAGCACTCTCCATCAAAGGCTCTGAAAAGGGCGGCCGTCACTCAACCCTTCACCATTGATCCCAATAGAGGGGAGACAGAAGTTTGTCTCGATCTGAATGGGAACATTCACTCATCTCGTCCTGTCGCTGTCAGAGTATGGGGAGGAACAGAGACTCCATCCTGCTGTGGGGAAGAAGAGACGGAGCTTGAAGATGCTGAAATAGGACTGGAGAAAAGCAGATGTTGGATAAGTCGAGGTAAGAAGCTCACCTGATCACACACTTTTCAATTAGTTGGATTAAAATTAAACTGCATAGATACATAGGGTTTCTGTTTAAAGTATTCTTATGAATATATTTTTAAGGGGGATAAACCTAGCAGGTTTATACCTGAAATATTCCACTGAATATTTTCAAAATAAAATCTGTAGTAGAAAATAGTAATTAATCAGCTTAATTTCAAGTCTTAAGAAATATAAGATGAAGAATTTATAACGAAATAAATAACTTGTGTCATTCTTGTACTTTATCACTCATGCCCTCTTGTTCCTATTACTAAACTGTTTATTAATGTACACATTTTAAGTGTTTACCTGTATTTTATTATTGTGAAGCTGAAATACTTTATGGAATTTCTGTTATTGTTTAATCTTCATATTTCTGAGTTTGAAATAAAAAAAGATCATTTTTAATCATTTTCTAATCATTAAAATATATTTTCCATGTTCAGTCGTCTGCTGCAGCCCCTCGTTATTTTGTCTTCTCATGTACATTTGTATATCTAGAAATATGTTTTGCATTGCTATTAACATTATTGTTATTATCAATTTAATGATGCAATATTTGATTAAACATTTGAATTAATTCCATAACACCAAAATGTATATGTGTTATATTTATGGTGTGTCAGAGGTGTGATGTTTAAGCACAGAATTTCTCTTCATGGACAAACAAATCTTGGCAGCCTGACCTAACTTGAACTGAAAGAACTAAAGTTTCATTTAAAGAAATGTTCCTGGAAGGGAAAAAAAGATGATAAGAAGGTTTCCAATGATCCGTTGCTTTAACCTGCTTGTTTTAAATTAGGTGAGATGTTTTGTGCACCATACAGAGGCCAACAATAAACAAAGCAAGATGAGACCAGTTTTCCAAAGAATTCCAATTTAGGGAAGTTTTTAAATCCCCAGTGAAGCTGTTATAAGCATGTTTTTTCTCTCTCTCTTTTTTTTTTTTTAACTCCGGGGTGAAATTACGGTACCCAGAGAATACCCACCCAAACACTGGGAAGTAATGGCAACTTAACGCCGAAGGCCCGAGCTGGAGTATAAAGCCTTGAATTTCTAACATTTCTAACATCTCGTCTAGAGTGAAACCACTTAAAGCTGCAAATACCTGGAATGATGACGGATTGCTTTTGACAAAACTTCTAAAGCTTTTAGAGCATCTGCAGAAATATCAGAGGAGCACGGATAGCATAACTAATCTGCTGAATCTCCTGAGGTGTGCAGGGAGAACTCGAGTAACAAAGTCCTCAGACACCAACTTTATTAATAGACAATGCTTTCCATCATTCCGGTTGACAAAAATCATACATTTTCCATTTAAATAAAAATAAAATTTAGATAAAAAAGTTGTAGAACAGAAAAAAAAACTACAACTGTTAACTTAACCCTTTAAAGCCCGATCCAAGAATAAAACAAAACAGAAAATTACTTTTTTTGGTTTGAAGTCCTTATTTGGCCTTTTAACAAAATATGTAAAAAGAAAAAACAGAAATACATTTTTGATATTAATAATTTATTATTATGTGATAAGTCAAGATTATTTTTTGTGTAGTCTTCTGCCCTCTGTTATCAGGTATATCTGATTGTGTATAATAGGATTTTGAGCAAAGTTTTTACCATTAAATTATGCAAAAGGTGTCAGACACAAAACATTTCAGAAACCGTATGTATCAAATACGATACATTTGGTATTACAGGGTTAAAATGTTGTAAAACACCAGATATAGGATTGGCAATTTTAGAAAAGCTTTGGTTTCTCGAATGACCTTAAAGCAAACTAGGAGGGTTCCTCTAGTACACTCTGTCTTCCATGTAATGAGAGAAGCTTTTCATTTTCATATCACAATCTAGCTTTAGGATTGTTTTTTTTTTTTCAATTGAATCCATTACATGTGTGTTCATGATTGTTTTGCTCACGTTAGATTCTTAAAGTTTTTAGAGTTTTGTGCCCGAATGAATCGGCATTACTTTTGGATTTGAAACTCTTCTGTGAAAATTTCTCTTTACAACTCTGCTGATTGACAACATCAAGCTGTTCTTCATCTTTCAGCACATTCATTTGGGCCTGAGCCATGCCTAGAAAGCTCTTAATAGGTTTTCTTTTAGGAATTAATTCTTTGCCGTCATATTTAGCAACACTTTCATAGCTTATTTTGTTTTAAATTGTTAGATAAACTGGACTACAAACAAGTTCTTAAAAAGGTAGAACAAAAACGTTAGTGATAGCACTAGAGGTCGAATTTCCTGGAGACAATTTTTTGCAAACAGAAAGTGCATTGTGCAGACATGACAGGGTTTGCAAAAACTACCTCCAGCACCACTTTTGGGTATCTCTCTGTGTGTTTGTCGCACAGATCCAGTCAGCCCTGTCGTTTTCCATGTGATCTGACCCCCTCTCCTTTCTTCCCTTTTCCTCTCTCTCTTTTTCTTCTGTTGCCTTTTTTGTCTGTTTAACTTTGGAGCTGTAAAGGCAAACAGTTTAGAGTCTGGGGTTATGGAGGCAGGAGGTCATTCAGCGGGAGGCAGTGATGAAAGCCCTTCTGAAGCCGAGTTTCTGTCAGCGAGAGAGGAAGATCTGATGGGAACCCATGATGAGCAGATGAGTCCTGACTGCTCAGAGGACATGGAGGACAGCGACTCTCTGGTATCTGAGCGACTCTTTTCACCTGCATATACATCAAGCGGCATAGGCCTCAGCTTCAGCCCAGCCTGGACATTGTCTTTCTTTGGAGAAGATTGCTTTAGTCAGGAGGTGATTGAGTATGCATTGAATCTGGGAAAGCAAACAGGATCATCAGGGCTGGAAGTGAAACTACAGGTGGGTAAATGCTATTGACTGTGAGTCATCTTTGACCTTCTCTCAGTCAGTCTGAATAAACAGCAGACTGGATGATTTATTTATTAAGTTTACTAAGCTGATGAAATTTATTATAAAACAGCTTTTAATACACTGGATAGGGATACATATGTAAAGACATAAAACCTGTCGATGATTAATAATATCAGACTAGATTTTTAGCGATAAATAACAGTGGATGCTGTCCATTTTAAAATACTGTTAAACTGTTCTTTTACTACTATTACTAAAGTTCTTTCAAGACAATTGTTTTTTGTTTAAAAATACTTTTTAAAGATGCAACAAAAATATTTCTCTAAACTGAAGTGTTTAAAATCAAATGATAAAGTTATCTTAATAAGTTCTATTAAAGTAACATTAATAAACTGTTGCATTACAAATAAATATTTCATATTTCATAATGTTTCATTATGTCATAAATCAATCTAGTGGTATTTAAGCCTCACCCAGTATGAGTAGGTTATGGAGCAGGCTAAAAATGCTTTAAAAAAAGTCCTTTTTGCAATAAGAAAGCAGGGTTCTCTTACATTACATTTTTCACCCAAAAGAGCTACTAAATAAATCATGGAAGAAATAAATGATATTAAACTATTATCCACTGAGACCCCATGAGTAATTTTCTTTATTATCTACTCATAGGTAAACATGGAGTCATCACCATGAAATCAGATTTTTTTTTCATGGTATAGTGTGCATTGTGCTTCAGTTAACCTGCTAGAAAATTCAGGGTGTGGAAGGTCTTTGATCTTTTTCATGTGGGATCTTTGTTCAAACCACAAAGCCCAGAAGATTGCAATCACCACATGTGATTTTGGTCCTTATTGGTTTACATCAATGATGGCAGGGTGCTAACATTAGTCCGCCTTTCCAGTCTCTGTTACACCAAAAGGGGCGATTGCAATAATCAGGGACTTAACTGTAGGCAGTCAATAATTGTTGCTGCTTGCGTTTTTTTGTGTGTGCGTGTGATTGTGCAGGAAACAATGTTTAAAAAAAAAAAAAACATGGCAAATTGCTAATGTTTCTAAGGCTACAACCACATATGCATGCTCACACAGAGGATAAATTCTTGTGCATAAAAGGAACTTTATTGATTCTTTACATGTAATGAGGCACATATGTGTTGAGTTAGAGTAGCATCCCTTCAACAGTTGAGGTATTTTAGTTATTTAGGTATTTAATTATCTCACCCCTTTACCATTTAATTACTCAGTCTTTCCTGTTTTAGGATCTTAAAGGAATAGTACACCCAAAACATGATTAGCCTTCATTTTCTACTCACCCCCATGCTGAACAACACTCTGGAGTACTTTTTTGATATCTCAAATGCATCTGGAGATCTGGGAGGCTTCTTGCTGTCTGCTGACATTCAAATAATGGAGGTCTATGGCGCCCGAGGCAGAAAGGTCCATAAAAGTCCACAAAAAACGTGTCAATATTCCTCCATACTGCTCGTCCAATGTATTCCAAGTGTCCTGAGTTGGTAGCGTCCATAATTGACTCGAAACAAAGTCATTTAGAATGTTTTTAGAGCATAAACAGTAGTGTATAGGATTTCCTAAAAGCGTGCGCCTGCGAGTTCACGAGCCTACGGAAACCGCGGCAGACCAAACCAGATGAAAGTGCGCATTCAGCGTCTGCTCTGCCGATAATGCAAGCGTAGAAGAAGAAATGTGCTGTTTACCTGTGCAAAGAAAGAAACAACGAAAGAAAAATGTCTGAGGACTTCAGTGTTGAGGAAGAGCATGAGTTCTTTGCCGAGCTGAATGCGCACTTTCGTCTGGTTTGGTCTGCCGCGGTTTCCGTAGACTCGTGAACTCGCTTTTAGGAAATCCTATACACTACTGTTTATGCTCTAAAAACATTCTAAACGACCTCGTTTCGAGTAAATTATGGATGCTACCCACTCAGGACACTTGGTATACATTGGACGAGCAGTATGGAGGAATATTGACACGTTTTTTGTGGACTTTTATGGCCCTTTCTGCCTCGGGCGCCGTAGACCTCCATTATTTGAATGTCAGCAGACAGCAAGAAGCCTCCCAGATCTCCAGATGCATTTGAGATATCAAAAAAGTACTCCAGAGTGTTGTTCAGCATGGGGGTGAGTAGAAAATGAAGGCTAATCATGTTTTGGGTGTACTATTCCTTTAAGTTCATTTTTCTTCATATACAAAATATTGTTCTATACCATATTAAGTTTTCACCTCATTTTAGATGAATACTTATTTAACATCGTAATGGAATTTATAAAGAGACAAACCTGTTCACCTAAGGAAAATAATAAAAATCCATAATGTATGAATGTATAATATATGAATATTTTGGGCTTAACAGTTCTTCAGGGGTTTTTTTCATGGTTATTTCTCTTGGGTCTTGATTTACTTTATTACTATTTGTTTTATTAGATATAGCTTTTTATATTAGTTTTTTATTTAATGCTCTTTGTAATATTTAATTAGTTTTATGTGTTTATTAATACAAAACAACAAGGATGACAGTAGAACCCGGGTTAAATGTATGCTCTTCAAACAAAACAAATATAATACATTTAAAGGTCTGATCTCCAGCATGTTGTAAGGGCAGGATTCAGACTATATTCTTTTTAGTATTCTAATACCATATCACTGCCTGAGCTCATGACCAAATCAAGTAAAATACTCTCTAATACTAGTATGCTGTACTTTTTGCAATGCACTTTCACTCTAGTTTTACATATCTAAGTTTCATTCAATCCGTTCACCCGTTCAGGTTAGTTTATCAAGTATGCATATTATTTTTTCTATTTCCAAAGAAAAATGGGTCACGGTCAGGCTTTAGGGTAAATAGAATGGTAATGTGAGGGGCTTGAAGATAATTGGCATATTATCCCCCTCTAACTGGATCTGAATATTAATGTGTTGAGCTTAGCCCTTGGCAGAGGAAGTTAATATCATTTGCAAAAGAATATTAATGAATAGTCTTTATTTTTTTTCCCACTTTGATGGAACTACTGCTCTTTTAGACAGTTTGTGTAGAAGCTACAATAGTATACCGGTACCTTATATGTCCACTACTGCTACTGCTCGCTCATAACACTTCAAAAGAGTGGTTGCCATGGTTAGGAGAGAGAGAAAGAAAATGCTGCCTTATACACAGTGGAAAATACCCAAAGGCCTCTTCCAGTGGAAAGCATGTGGTGTCATTCCTGTGATTCTCTGATTTTATTCTGAATAGGAAGTTCAGCAGCAGCTGATAATTGAGACAAGAAATCTGAGGAAAACCAGAAATTTCTATCAAAAGCTGAAGAATCAACAAGAGAGAAAGAACAAAGGTTTGTGTGCTCTTTTGTTGAAAAGAAGAAGTTTTGGGTGTTTCCAATTGGAATATTTATATGTGTATATTTAATTCTGAAGGTCCTGAGGGTAAACTGATGCTTTCAAAGCTGAAGTCGCAGCTTGAAGAACTCAGATCCAGAGTGGCCTTCTTGGATTGTGTGAAGAAATACCTTGAGGTACTCCTGCTTTCAACCATGTTTTAAACATATTTCCTCAACACTCCACCTAGGACACTATTTATCATCTGCTCAGAATTCGATTCACATAATTTGCTGATTCAGTATCAAAAACATTATATCGATGCATTTGACCTTCTAGTATAAATGATATGGATTATTATTCTTTCTGGACATATCAAAAATACAGCTTTATCAACATATTTAATCACCCCGGCATGCTGAATGCTTGGAGTGGTTTCCACAGCAGTGCAGCAAATCTGTTTGCTGATTAATTAAGCTAAAATTCTTTCGACTATTTGGGGTTGCAAATGGACAGCGCACAGAGCAGGGCTACTATTACAACAATGAAAAAGTCAGAATTTACTTCCTATCTTCTGATACTGTGTACATTATGACCAGTTAGTTTAAATATTAAATTGGTTATATTATAAATGATATATCTACCATAAGTATGGAAAATTTGCTTTTTTAACCCTTTAAAGCCCGATCCAAGAATAAAACAAAACAGAAAATTACTTTTTTTTGGTTTGAATTCCTTATTTGGCATTTTAACAAAACATGTAAAAAGAAAAAACAGAAATACATTTTTGATATTAATAATTTATTACTATAAGTCAAGATTATTTTTTGTGTAATCCTCTGCCCTCTGTTATCAGGTATATCTGATTGTGTACAATAGGATTTTGAGCAAAGTTTTCACCATTAAATTATGCAAAAGGTGTCAGACGCAAAACATTTCAGAAATTTGGTATGTATCAAATATGATACATTTGGCATTACAGGGTTAAAAGTCATCAACAATGCTCCTAAATGTAAAAAATTAGGTTGTAAATGCAAAAGAAATCTTAACTGAAACAGACCATAATCAGCTCAAAAATTGTGTAATAGTGAAAACCGTTTTGTGGTGCTTCCATGACATCGATGTCAACCCTCTACGATAATTATAGATGACATGTCTAATTCAACATAACAGAAATCTAAAGGCTGTTTTCTGTACCTTGTTCTTTGATCTAAAAATATACTTTTCATGCTAACCTTCAGACATTGTGACATAGAAGGAGCTTTGTCTTGTGTCCACTTTAAAAGGTTACATCTCCCAGCACAATAGTTGAATATTTCATAGCTTCTCTTTTTGTGCCTGATTAATAATTAAAACAGTGATTCCAGGAATTATACATAATGGATCCTAATGTACATCAGGAGACCAAATTATATGAATCTCCTGACACCCAGCATGCTAGAATCATTGTACTTTATAACGAATCCAGGAGCGGTTGGTTAGAGACAATGAAAGGAGTTTGACTTCATTGTCTGCACTGTGGTCCATAACTTGGAAGTGGAAGCAAAAATAAAATTGAAGGAAAATCATGAATGTTTTTAAAAAACATTTCACTTTTTCTGTATTGGAAGAAAAATTGGTCTCTTTACAAAATATCTTAAACTGGATGATGGGTATCTGGCTCTAAATAAGATTTATTTCCAGACTTTAACTAGCCCACTCTGTCATGCTCTCATCTTAACCATACATTTATAGCTCTGCTGTATCTTTGGGGCTGGGTGTGTTGCTGGAAAAGTAAAATTTTGACCAAGTATGGAATATTTACAGCATTTAACATGTTTTTCTCTTGAACATGATCAATTTTACTATCCATTCTGAAGAAACATTTCCACAGCATGATTCTCCCACCACTGTGTTTCATGGTGAGTATCATGTGTTTAGTGTAGAGTTGTCAAAAGTATCGATACTCAAAAAAGTATCGATACTGAAACGTTGTATCCGGATACAATACTCATTTTAAAAAGTATCGATACAGCCATCTAAAGTGCAGAATAGTGGAAAATGCACTTTCTGAAAACTGTGTGATTGAATAATTCTGTGCATTTTTTTAGTTTCAGACTTTTTTTGTAACAAGTGCAGCTGCTGAGAATAATTTTTGTTTAACCGGTTTGGCTAGTGTCATTGTTATGTCTGCAAAACAAAGCCAAGGAAGGAACACTTAATTTTAATTTTAAGTTTTTTATCAAGCTTGCTTAAAATTGTGCACAGCATACAACCTCAAAATATTATTCTTATTGTTTTTTAATTTATTGTATTGCATCTTTTTAGTAATGAAAATATTTCTGTTGAATTTTAAAGTCTTTGTTTTTATTCTTGTGGTATCGAAAATGGTATTGAGTATCGAATATTTTACTTAGTATCGGTATCGAGTTGAAAGGTTTAGTATCGTGACAACCCTAGTTGGTGTGATGCAAGGATTTTTGTTATAGATATCCGCATTTCAGCTATTGCCCCTTTTAACGTGTTTTATGTGTCCTTGTGGCAAACGAGGACAAATGAAAAAAAAATGTCCTTTCAAAAAGGCCTTTTTTAAACAGTTTTTCCCCAACGCCAGACTTAATAGTACACAGCACACTTAAAACATAATAAGCTTTGAAATTGAAAATTCAAATTTCAAAGCTAATTATGTTTTAGAACCTTGCTGTTTTTTTCCAGTGATGTTCTCTAAGTAAACTCTAAAGCCTTCAGAGAACAACTTGTTTTATAGTGAGTAAATCACACTTTTCTGATTTTTTCCCCAACTTTTCCGTTTTTTCTATGTAGGTGACCTGAGCTTATAAGTTGCAACGGAGTATATGAGTGTAGAGCTAAAACAATTAATCTAATGAAACATGATTAATCAATTTTTGAAATAATAACAAATTTTGTGATCAAATAATAGTAACTGTAGTATAGGGACCTTATAACATGCCATTTATCTGACAGAGCAACCCACTTAGATCAGTGACTATAGCAAAATTGTATAAAAATCTAAAAAACGTTTTGTCTGTCAATAGGCTCTATCCAGATCTCCTCAAAAGGAAAAGGTTTAGTTTCAGTTGGTTTCAATTTGGTAAAAAAAAATCTTCCTTAATGAACCTTTTGCTATCTGATTGTTAATTGATTAATATAACAAAACAATTGACAGAGTAATCGATTAGTCAAATGATCGTAAGTTTCAGCCGTACATGAGTGTAAGAGTAAAATAGTCTTTTTTTTTGTAAATATAGAAACTCATGCTTATTTTTCCTCCACTTCTCAGTTATGCTTTTGTTGATCTATAACATGAAATAACATTAAACACTAAAATAATCTGTAGTTTTCAGTTACAATGTGAGGAAAAATAGATTTAAATAAATGCAAATCGTTTTAGTGGTAAGAAACCATTTAAAATCAGAGTGTTATCCTATTCTCAAATAATTTCTTTTCATCATTACAGGTTCTCTGTGTTGATCAGTGGGGTCTGGAAGTTTCTTTACTGCCCTCTCTGGCTGTCTGTGGATGTCATGCTTTGGACCTTCAGTCCACTGAAGACACCTCTGTTCTGAGCTTTGGTACCAGTAAAGGGAAAAGGACTCTGCAGTCCGGGTCTCCTCTGGGACTCATGGCTTACCTTTATGCCAGGTACAATTGATATGAGGGTAAAAATAGGAATTATAAACAGAATGTATTTAATTAGGAACACAACCAATTATGCATCCAGTTTAACATGAATCCAAGGGGGGTTAATTTATAGGAGACATTTTGTTGCTGTTTTTGCACTAATATGCAACTTGCAACTTTATTAGAGGATCAAATTCTCGAAATGTCTGTCAGATTTTTTATGTTTGAAGAACCCAGCCACGTATAGCCCTCAAACAGAGGAGTTTTGGTATCTTATTGTCTTTTATATGGGATGAAGCATGAATTGAATCGATAGATTAGAGGCACTGACAGCAATTTTCTAGAATTGTTTGCAACGGTTGTGGTAAAAGAAAGAGCCGAGTCAAACTGCAAACCTTTTAATTTACCTCTTATCCAGGTTATGCTATTCCATGTAAGTTACCGTCCCATTTTGTGGTGTATGAATCATTACAAATATAATAATATGATAAAAGGGGCTTAAGTGAGGTTATCTGTTGGATGGCAGAGTTGCTCCTTAGATAGAGTGTGATGAGCTCCATCATCTTGGGTAATTTTGGAGAATAATTGCTGCTCACTTGCATCAAAGAAGTCCGGGGATTTGGTTAAAGCATCTGACTAGGATGCTTCTACCTTACCTATTTTCTCTTGTTCTTGGCACTGTACATATGGAAGAGACCCCAATGCACACCCAAATCTTTCTGGAGGAAATGTGTATCTGCTGGCTTGGGAACACCTTAGTATTCCCCAGAACATGTGGGAGGGAAGGCGTCTGTTGAGGAATCCCACCCTGTTCAGAGAAGTAAAAGGCAAAGGATGGATAGTTCGGGCACACAGTAAAGTCCTCAGTTAAAGTCCTTGCTACTATACAGACCATATCTAATGCAGCCAATTTTTCCTGATCTGCACTCTTCAAAGTAATTATGTTATTATCTATAGTTTTCAACGCTTATTTAAACATCAAAAGGATTCTGAGTTCATACCAATGATCCTTTTCTGAACTCCTACCAGTCACACTGGAAAATATCTAAATCTAGATAAGTAATTTTTTCTTAAAATAAGTGCATTTGTTCTTGGATTGAGGAGGTAAAAGATAAATTTTCCCAATGGAACAAGACAATTTACATTTAAATTAAGAAAACACTATTGCATTGTCTTATTTCAAGTGTTTTTTATCTAATGATCTTATTTTAAGAGTAAAAATACTCATTCCATTGGCAAATTATCTCATTTACCTTCTCAAATTAAGGAAAAATACACTTAATTTACCTCGGCCTCTGGTTTGTACCCATCAGGAAAACAACATCAACATTAAAGAGAAATGGAGCCACATCATGAAATCAGCTCCATCTTTTCTCTTTATGTGACTGGGAATTTATAAATGCTGCTTGTAGGTTTATGACACTAAAAGCAAGCTGGAAACATTGACATTTAGGATAAACTGTTGATTCAAGTAAACCAATAGGATCTCATTTGATTCTTATTTGAATAGCAGCTCATACGGGATCTTTAGCGTTGCTGCATTCTTAAGGTACATTCTGATGTGATAGCAGTTGTGCTGTGGAGAACTATTTAAAGAAACATGTTCAACTAATTTTTAGTTAAAATTAAATCTCCTCATAGCGTCCGCATCCTTTTAAATGAGCAAAGTTATTTTGTAAAGAGGGAACCTGACTAGCATCTTTGCATAGAGACCTTTCTGAACCATGACCCAGTCTGTTAAGGCTTTTAAAGGCTGCATGATGTCTATGATTTCCACTGTTCATCCTCAATATTTTTTTTTTATCTATATTTTAAAAATTTCTTGGTGGGCAATTATGCTCATTTATGCTTCATTTTATGTTTTGGGGTTGTTTTTTTGGATACATTTGGATAGATTAAACTTAGAAGGAGAGTTTGAGTATCTTTATGTCTTGTGGCTTCATTTGCAGTAATGTGGATGCTGCTTGAGATGAAATCAAAGCTGTAAATGCTGTTAAAGCAGAAACCCTGCCCCATGTTTTATAAGATACTATTGCCTAAAATTGGTTTTCTTCTTTTCAGTGTCGTGGCTAACCCTTAGTACTAAGGTGAGAAAATCTGAGAACCTCTCTTTCAAAGTCTTTTTTTAGCCATTAAAAAAAAGAAATACATTTTTCTTTTGGCTTAAAAAAAAGAAAAACTTGGAATGCATCAGAATGAGTTTGAAAGGTTCACTGGGAAAAGAGATATTTTGGTTTTCCACCCGGACCTATGGACCTGCCCAGTCTTAGCTAGATGGATGTATGGATCGCCGGACAGTCCAGAATAACGACATACTTGGTTAAATGAGACATTGTGCACTGTATGAGTAATACAATCTAGTTATTTTCTTTAAGTTGATACATGGCTGAATTTCCACTAAAAGCAAAGCAAACAAAATAGAAGTGCTCCATTTTTTTTATTTCTATACAAGGATTATGAGGCCTATCTGAAGTCCCATCTGTTCTAAAAGGAAAGAAACACTTTGAGCTTCACTTTAGACACCCAAATGTGTGCTATTAAGCAGAGAAATGTGTTGCTTTTTCTCTCTTTTACACTAATTGGAGGCTGAAAAAAAGACACACAGAGAGAACTGTATTTCACAAAGAACTTTTAAGTCTCAGAATGTCACACCGTTGCAACCATCAGTGCTAGAAACACATTAGAAAACAGGTTTACTCCAGTTACTTCCAGTCAAACTTTTTCTTTCTGAACTTTTCTACAGAAATGCTGCTGCAGAAGGCTACATCCAACAGTTCCTGTACACTTATCGGTTCTTCTGCACACCTGAAGAATTATTGCAGTTTGTCATGAATAAATTCATCAGCGCGGCAAGGTATCATGTATTCACTGAGTAACTCATGTTGTCACAGAGAGCAACATTTATATAATTTAGCTGTTTTGTTTTACATCAGGGAGAGCCCAGAGATGTCGGGGGACAGTGAACGGATCTTCCATCGCAGTCTGGACCTTCTGCAGATCTGGATGACAGACTGCAAATCAGTGGACTTTACACCAAAGTCAAGTCTTGTGGATACGTTAGAAACCTTTCTAAATACTGAGGTAAATACATGCATATATTGGCCTTTACAATCAAAGAGCTGCGCATGTTCGTAATGATCAGTTGCCTCCATTAATTAACGATCTACAACTGGTTGACATTCAGTTATCTGATTTCTCATTAACTTTGGAAAACTTCAAAGTCCCTTAGTTTTCTCACTCTTAACTTCTCTCAGGTGATTCCAGTTGACAGCCAAGGTGAAGCTCTTCTTGCTATTCTCTACAGCCGTCCAAACACCACTACATTAAATCAAGTGACAGGAAGTCTAATCAGCCTGGATGAAGAAGATGACTCTGTTTGTTTGCGCTCATCTACGGAGGACCTTAGCAAGAAGGTCTGTATTTAGCTTCTCGGTTATCTGAGCATTAGCCTTTTGAGCATTAAAATAATCAGGGCCCCCCACAACAAAGAATCCATGCAAAGTCTCCATGTTGAAATAACTATGTCCTGAAAACCTCCCTAAATAAAACATTTTCTAGTCTAAAGAGAAACATGCAACATTCTGTAGCCTGAGCAAGACTGGTCCTCTTGCATCATGTACTAGTAAATACCTGAAGGGTGATAGTGAAATGTTTCTGATGCAAAACCTACCTTAAGGCACTTATGATACTACTATCTACGATTTACTCTTTATTGTTTTATTAGTTTTGACTGTCAGTGTATTTTCTATGCACAGTATCATATGCACATTATGATACAATGCTTCACAATCTATAAAGGACTCCATAAATTAGATTTCTGGTGCCATAAAGCGGTTCCACTCATGAAAACAGAATGTGAAAGAGTTCTCAGGAAGAATACCGATTAAATATTAGCTTAGCGGTACACGGAAAAGTTTAATGGTTAAGTATATTTTTTGTTTATATAGTAAATCTATGAGTTTATAAAGAAAAGTCCAGGCAGCACAATTTTTTTACATTCAAATTTTCCTTTTCTATCACTTTCTGAACTTGAAGTCTAATTATTGTTTTCTTCCTGTTTAGAATTTGCAGTGTACCCATTATGTTTGCATGTATGCAAATAATAGCAAACACAATATAATTTCAAGCGCAGCTGTACTATGCCTAAAATCTATTTCTTTCTAACCATAAATCAGATTTCCTGCCTAAATCGTTAACCGAAATAGAATATGTGATGTTTTTGTCTGGATACATTTGTTATAGATTTCTGTAGCTTTTGTACATATGTTTCTCTTTTTTCTTCTTAATAACATTCCACTTCCATTCCGTAAAAATTCAAAAAATATCCACTGGACTTGGTTTTCAAGATTTGAAGACGTTTCGCCACCTCTCCAGGAAGCTTTCTCAATTCAAATGATCAGCATATTCCACTTCCATCTTATCTCTGAGAATCTGGTGTTGACATAAGCAGGAACATTTTCGCACATTTCCAATTCTAATGTCTACTTTTCAGTGGAGGATCTCTCGTGTGGTGGAGCCCTCTCCTTCCATTTCTAAAGAGAAGGCCTTCTCAATTGCTGCAGCCCTACCTGCTCCTTCCTTGATGCACGACTTCTCTAATACTAGTCTGCAAAGGGAGGATCGACTCCCATTCAGCCAGAAGGAACACAGCACGCTGCACATTGCACAGCAGTTGACACTCCTGCAGCAGGTTAGCTCATCCCCTGTGCATAATAACACCGGAGATGTTGTATTTCAGCCACTAGAGGGAGGTATTTCTACAACAAACCTGCAAGGCACTGGTTTGATTCAACTGGTTCTAACTTTCTCTTTGTATTCAGGAAGTGTTCCAAGGATGCCATCCAGTTCATTTCCTCAGATCCAGGAAACAAGGAGTCGGAGACAAACTCCCCAGCCCAAATAGGTGAGGGAAGAAAATGAAAGGCTGTATTGTTATCCTTTTATTTTGTTTTTGTTTTTAATTAGTCACACATAGAAACCTTTATCTGTAGGTTTTACTCAAACATTCTCAGGGGCTAATAAAAAATGACTGCGCCTTCAAATTTAAATCACAGCAGCTCCAGTCAAAATTGTCATGATTCACTTCATTTTCACAAATCCAAAAATATTTTAATTAATGACCCTTTTGGTGTCTGTAAAGTAGCGATATATGTTTATCTAACTTGTTAGAATAAACTTTCCAGTCAGTGTTTGTTCATTTCTAGAGCTAAAAACCCTGGAAACAGGCTGCAGTATTATTTATTTAAAAGGTCAGATGGAAGATTTCATATTTAGCAATACATTTACACCAATTTTAACCAATTGAAACAAATCATTAAGAGTAGTTAAAGGGTCATATTAAATTGCACATTATTGTTTACATCTTAGGTCAGCTGTTCTATTGCTTGTAAACACAAAACACAACTCAGCCACTTACATGGCAGAAACATAAGTTTTTTTATTTGCTTTTTTTCCAACATGTCCTGTTGTTGCATTTCAGGCATACCGTATACCTTTTGATGTGAAGATGAGTATTTTAGAAAACTACTGATCTGCTGTTATATGGAGTGTGGGCAGAATAATATGAAATGACAGAATGTTACTCCATTTATGTCCTAATACCCACGGAGCACTATGTTTTAACATCTGAGCTACTTCATTTAATGCAGGTTAGAATCAATTGATAAGGAGTTTGTTTTGGATTATTATTACAAGCTAATGACTTTGTAATGTATTCATAAAAATATCTGTTTATACTTTGAGGTTATTAGTTAGGTTTTATTAAAAACTTTAAGGTAGTTTCTGATACATCTGTGCACATATATATGTATTTCTCATACAGGAATGTGTCACAGCTTATTCCACCAGCAGAGGGCAGCAGTGGGCTTGTACCTGAAGTGACCCAGTCTGACAGCTTCCTCCAGCAGCTGCTCACATATGCTAAGAGTGTCACTAACTGGATCTCTGCAGAGATAGTTATTTGTGACTCTGCAAAGGTGAGACCAGCTCTAACTGATGATAGTAACAGGAACAAGCATGGCAGAAATGAGTGGGAGGTTCAATGTAGCAACATAAATGGTAAACTGCCTGGCCTTATATAGCACTTTTTAAAGCTAGGAGACTTGACCACAGCACTTTATGTTACATTCAGTCAACGCATACCTTCACACACTGATGCTTATGAGCTGCATTGTTGCCCCAGCTGCCCGCACTCACTGTCAGAAGCGACACTGAAAACTTGAACCCAAAACCCTCAGTTTGGACGCCACTGTCAACACTTTATAAAGATAAAGGTTGCAGATTTGGACAGCTCTAAATGAAATCACTCTATAAACTGACCAAGTTTCTGCTCAACAAGAAACAAAGACCAAATTTTACATCTAATCACCAGAATTTTATCAGCATTTAAAAGCAGTTTATCTTTTAAATTTTCCTTTGCAAAATAATTCAAAATTCTTGATATTTTTCAAGTTTTGACACATTACCTATTCAAGCTTTGCTGTTTTTCACAGGGATGTTATTATTGAGATACACAAAGTAGTGCTTAAATGTGAAATAGAAGAAAATTTAATATTTCCAAACATGATGATCAAGAGATGGGTCAGGGATAAAAATTTAGTGCTATTCTACATTTCAAAACAATTTCTCATCCTCTAAAAAAGTTCAATCCTTTATAGACAAATGGAAAGAGTATAAAACTACTTGCAAACCTACCAAGATGTGACCTGTAGTTATAAAATGATGCAATTAAGGTTAGTTAGTTTGTTGGTAAATTTATATCAAGAGGAACACGTGCTGCATCAGATTACTGTATTTACAGCCTTTCCTCCTGTTGGATGATCATGTAGCAACAGTCAGTTCCAGCTTTAATTTTACAGTAATCCGTCATAATGAGCAAACATTAAACAAAAGTGGAGAGGATGGCTCACCTTGAGCGGGAGGATCCCTCCAGCAGAGTCTGGGTCAGTGTGGGCATCCGACTGGGACTTTGAATAAACAGAGCAGACAAGTAATGTTTAAAAAAAAGCATACTGGACAGAACCAACAATTCACAAAAAAAGCAAAAGAGGTTGAATATATTTTCTGTGACTGTATGTTAAAGAAATCCGGAAGAGTCAATTGAGGCAGTAGCCCATTTTGAGCTTCATCTAATAGAGAAACACAGTAAAAAGTCTGTCCAGAAAAAACTGTAAATATGGTAAATGGTCTGTACTACTTTATATTTCATTCAGTCATTCACACATATTTACACAGTAAACTGTATTGTAGCCACAGATGCCCTGAGGCAGGCTGGCAAAAGCGATGCTGCTAAACAGTCACCACCACTGGGCCCGCTGTTACGCTCAAGAACATGACAGAGACAAATGAGGCAGGGACTAGAACCGGCAACCCACCGGTTACAGGACAAACCCTACCTATTGAGCAACCATCACCTCATTTATAACAGAGTATTTGCACCGAAAGCTCATTCCGTTGCTTTGTCTAGGAGAGAAGACAGAGTTAAACACAGAAAGAGAGGGTCAGGGTATCATCTATACATAAGCCCAAGCATAGACTCTATAAGGGACAAAAACAGAAAGAAAGCATTAAGTTCATTGCAGAAATAACTGCAAATATTTGAAGTTGTTTATTAGTTATTTATATATCAACTACACAACTACTTTCATGACACACTTCGTAGTTATCTGCTTTTTTAGATGTTTTCAGAAAAAAAAACTGAGCGAAAGTCTGGTTGTGTTTGATTTAAGCCTGTTCAGTGTTTGCTTTTTTTTTTACTTTTGTAAGTTTATGTTAAAACATGTGGAAGATTCAGATTTATTTTCCTATTTTCTCTCTAACATCACGCCCTGCTGTCTTGCAGACCCAAGTTGCTTTGCTGACCAGGTATCTGTGGATTGGAAAGTACTGCTATGAAATGAGGAACTTTGCGACAGCCATGCAGGTTCTGGGAGGTCTGGAGAACGTGATTGTCAGGCAATTACCAGTAAGGCTTCAACATTACAAACTTTCAGCTTCGTCTAATAAGTCTGTTGCCCGTGAGCTAAACATTTCTTTCTGCTGTGATTGAGCTTGGATGGAATTTAATTAGTTTCACAAATGAGAAATTAGCATTAATGAATTCAAATAGGATGTCGACAGAGTGAACTCAGCGAAGAGAAAATGTAGGTATGAAAAGTAATTAAAAAAATCTCACCATTAAAACACAGCAATGTTGAAATAATAAAGCAAATTTCCATATTTTCTCTAAAAGATATCCTGGCACCCGGATTCAGATGCTATTGCACTGGTATCAAAACACTGGTTTCAAATAAAAGTGTTTAACTTATTTTATTTAAAACTGAACATTTTCTGAATGCTGCTAAAGAAATGAAATGTTTTAAATAATACATATTTGAACCATAAAGTTGTTATGCTTAAAACAATATTAGCTTTATAAAGTTGAGCCCCCAGTCCGTTGCTTAACAGAAAAGGTGCTCAAAGATTGTTGGATGTGTAAAACTGCAGTATTGGAATAGGAGTCTTTAGTTTCGCTCATTTAATTTTTCTCGGTATGAAATATTTCTAAACACGCAGGTTTGTTGGTTTTGCAAGTGAGGGGGAAGTATTTTTATCTATGTGCATCTACAGTTTGAGCACTTTGATACTTCAAGCATATTTTTGCACGTTTTTGCACATATATTTGCATGTTTCAAGCACACTTTGAAACGTGCAAATTAAAGCACATTTTCTGGCATCTCATTAAAAGGCCCAAAGCTATAGGAATGGAACGATGGGACATTCAGTGGTTTTAAAACTACAATAAAAAATATGGTATGCCTTAATAAGAAAAACAAGCACATCATTTGTGTGAAATGTTCCCCATAATATACTTTTTTAATGAGTGACGATAAGAACTGTAATTTTCTTGTCTTGCTGACAGGCTTGGAAACACCTCCCTTCCAAAGTGTATGAGATTCTAGAAGAGCTACGAGCTGTACAGGTATGTTTGAGGGTGAGAAAGCTAAAGGAATTGCTGCAGTGCCAATAATACAGAGGAGAGTTTGGGAGCTTATAGCTCCCTCTTCTTCTGGCAGTTACCTATGAAATATACCAATTTATAAAACGTCCAACACTTTAATATTTGTCAATCCTGCCATCCAATCTTCTCTCCCTAAAACATCAGGTCTTCTTGAAGAGTGATGACCTGTGTCTGATGGGGGCAGAACACAAGAGGATGAGGCCCACACTACCATCTATTCACATCCTTGCAATGCATGTGCAGCAGCTTGAGATTGGTGCATTCACACTCGCTACTGGGGCTTACAAGTGGACCAAACTCAGGTAGGCTTTGACTGCAGAAAAAGGTTATTTAAACCAAATGCCAAATGTTTTTTTCTTCCTTTCAGTTGTGCTCAAGCAGGATGGGGCTTGTACCTTTTTTAGCAAGAAAATAAAAAAGTGAAGAGCGGATAAGAAACTTTAGACTAACTTAATTTAAATTCAACAGCTGCTGCCAGATTATTATTATTTTTTTTGTAAACTTAAAGTGGCACAGTGACTGTATAGTATACAACTATATATAGACCAAAAACGTTTGATCACAATGAGATAAGGTAAAATACAACAAACTTCCTTCCTAACAGTGTTTAAGGTCTTTTTTTCAGCCGAAATAGCACCAGGCTCCATGAGAGGACATTAACTGAAGTATGTGCCAAACTTGGACCCAACCAAGCTGCAATGCCTTGCGGTTGTAGTATAACGTTCCGTGCACTAATAGAAGATTTAAGTAGAAAACATTGTTGTGATTTTACCGGGAGCATCACTATTGTGACTGAGCTAATGTACCTGATTTTCACATTAAATCTTGAACTTTTCTTCTTATTTTCAGAACTTTGCTGGGAGATGCTAACTAGCTTAGCTCTATTACCGTACTTCCTTGCGCACATGAGCAATATCCTACAACCAGTGATGTGGTGTCATTACAAAAAACATACACAGAAGTGGTTAGTTTTATCCCAAGTGGGGTCACAAGGGTTGCCGGTGCCTATCTCCAGCTGTCAATGTGCGAGAGGCGGGGTACACCCTGGACAGGTTGCTAGTCCATCACAGGGCAACACAGAGACAAACAACCATGCACACACAACTAAGGGGACTTTAGAGAAGCCAATTAACCTAACAGTCATGTTTTTGGACTGTGGGAAGAAGCCGGAGTACCCGGAGAGAACCCACGCATGCTCAGGGAGAACATGCAAACTCCATGCAGAAAGACCCTGGGCCGAGAATTGAACCCAGAACCTTTTTGCTGCAAGGCAGCAATGCTACCCAGTTCACCAACAAAACATAAAAATAACAAGCAATATACCAGCAGCAGGTCACAAAAACCCTTTTATATATGATCAGAATGATTTACTGTTGTATAAATACATATATCCAGGCTATGCACCTTTAAATATACCTTTTTTGTTTACTTGTCTCAGACTTACAGCAAATACAGTCTATGGATTGCATAGAAAATGCACAAAATCTCCTATAGCTCCATCTCTTAGTCTGGAAGAGATAAGCTGTTGGAAAAATGTTGGCTTTCATGATGGAACAATGAAGACAATACTGAACAAGTGTCACTTGTGTGGATGGCCGTCCAGGAGGTTTTTCTCTTTAAAAAAATATGGCATTGTTTACATTAGCAGGGCTACTTTTAAATTGAAATACAAGATTCTGAAACAACGTCCTTTGAGCTTGAGCAGCAGTGTAGAGATGTATTACCATAAGCATGTTTGCTGTGAAGCACATAAAGCATTCCTGCACAAACGCCTCATACCTTCTGCCAAGAAACGTGGGAATGACTGAGGCCTGGGCTCCTTACAGTCATTGAGTCCACAACAACCTCTGAACCTAAAGGGATTCATTTAATTTGTCTTAAAAGGTAATGTAGATATTCAAATGTTTAACAAATCTTTATTCATTAAAGCAACAGATAAAATCATTTGTTATTTCAATTACTTCTTCTAATCACTAGATGACACCATTCTCCATTAAAAACCTGGATTTGTTTTCTTGTGAAATTTTCTAATGTTTTGATTGGGTTTTCATTACCGATAAACCAGAATGATAAAGAATTAGAAGAAAATGGTTTAAATATAAAACTGTGCAATAACTATGATGTATAGATTTACAATAGAACTGAATTTCTGTAATAAACTAACTGATCGGTGATATTTATTTATTGAGATTCAGCAGCAGATTCATGTGATTGTTTTAAAACAGTAAAGTGCTTTCTTTTGGCTTAATGTCTGTGAATTGCTAGATATTTAGGAACTGAATATATTGATATTTATAAACAGCTGATGTTTTCCAATGCTATATAATGTAATAAATGTAAATGATGGCACAAAAAAAAATTTGAAAATTATCTTACCTTGAGATTCTGTCATATATTGCAACAGTAAGAGTCTGTTATTGTGAAAAAAGTATCCAGAAAGTTAAATAATTTGTTGTGTTATCAGTGTGGTGGTGTAAAATCTAACCAGTTCCTATAATTACACGACAATTGGAGTCCCTTCCCTCTCATTCTGCAAATCAGATTAAGACAAAGTCGGCCAACTCGCAAAAAGGACACACTTTTCTGTGTCCTTCTTTTCTGCTCCAATATGGCTGACCAGATGCTGAGGTCAGAACAAGCGGGGCTCGGATGGCGGTGGCACAGCTGTTGAATTTGGGTTGTTGGTTGGGGTGCCAGTGCTGCTGCAGATGGTTTGCGTGGGAGGGGGGGCTGATTGGAAAAAAGGTTTATGACCAGATGCTGGGAGGTGACTGTGTGTAGCCAGATGATGAGGTCGGGAGAAAAAACAGCTGGTTACCATGGACTCTGGGTTTTCCCAGCTCTCTCAAAATCAGGTCAGACAGAAAGCTAATGATGCTGTGAAGAAGAAAATCAGATATCTATATGTATCTTATCAAAAGCAATTGACTACTTACTTGCTTTCTCTTTCTTTAAACCTTTTTTTTGGTTCTTTCTCTGGTGTCAGGAACATTGCAAAGGTTGTGAGTCAGGTCCATGCCTTCCAGGAGGTTCTGTACCCCTACAGTTCGGATCAGGACCTTCAGGACTACCTTCGTCATCGGATCACCCGGTTTGCCAACACAGACATCCACCTCCTGGCTACTGACTATGAGGCCAACTTTCAACGGTCCAGCGAGCGTCAGACCAGAAGGATCCATGACACACTGAGGAGGGTCAAAGCTACCTTCCAGTGAGGTCTGCCTCATAAACTACAATGCCAGGACATCCCCTGGGACAAGACGTCTCATTTCATAGTACTATGGGAAAATACTTCTTCCCTTACACTAAGATAAATGTCTTAAATCAACTTAATTCAATAGTGGAAATCGTTTTCAAATCAAACTTTTGCTTTGGCAGTAATCTACAGTGTGTTTATGTGCAGAAGGACCTAGTTATGGCATTTAAACACTACGCAATCACATCCCTTCTAAATTATTATTAAATTACACTCAGGGGAGAGGTTTTAGGTACTAAGTAACCTCACAGGGTTTGGTTCAATCCCTGAATGTGTGGATTTTTTAAGGTCTCCTTACTTTGTGAGCTGCTATCCTTTCAGTCCATTGGAAATGCCATTGTTGGACTTTGAATCTGGATCTACAGGTGCTGGTCATAAAATTAGAATATCATGAAAAAGTAGATTGATTTCAGTAATTCCATTTAAAAAGTGAAACTTGTATATTATATTCATACATTACATACAAACTCATATATTTCAGATGTTTATTTTGTTTAATTTTGATGATTACAAATGACAACAAATGAAAATCTCAAATTCATCATATCAGAAAATTAGAATATTGTGAAAAGGTTCAAAATTGATGGCCCCTGGTGCCACACTCTAATCAGCTAATTAACTCAAACCACCTGCAAAAGCCTTTAAATGGTCTTTCAGTCTAGTTCTATAGGCTACACAATCATGGGGAAGACTGCTGACTTGACAGTTGTCCAAAAGACGACCATCGACACCTTGCACAAGGAGGGCAAGACACAAAAGGTCATCGCTAAAGAGGCTGGCTGTTCACAGAGCTGAGTGTCCAAGCACATTAATAGAGAGGCGAAGGGAAGGAAAAGATGTGGTCGAAAAAAGTGTACAAGCAAGAGAGATAACCGCACCCTGGAGAGGATTGTGAAACAAAACCCATTCAAAAATGTGGGGGAGATTCACAAAGAGTGGACTGCAGCTGGAGTGAGTGCTTCAAGAACCACCACACACAGACGTATGAAAGACATGGGTTTCTGCTGTCGCATTCCTTGTGTCAAGCCACTCTTGAACCACAGACAGCGTCAGAAGCGTCTTGCCTGGGCTAAAGAGAAACAGGACTGGACTGCTGGTGAGTGGTCCAAAGTCATGTTCTCTGATGAAAGTAAATTTTGCATTTCCTTTGGAAATCAAGGTCCCAGAGTCTGGAGGAAAAGAAGAGAGGCACTTCATCCACGTTGCTTGAAGTCCAGTGTAAAGTTTCCACAGTCAGTGATGGTTTGGGGTGCCATGTCATCTGCTGGTGTTGGTCCATTGTGTTTTCTGAGGTCCAGGGTCAACGCAGCCACATACCAGGAAGTTTTAGAGCACTTCATGCTTCCTGCAGCTGACCAACTTTTTGGAGATGCAGATTTCATTTTCCAACAGGACTTGGCACCTGCACACAGTGCCAAAGCTACCAGTACCTGGTTGAAGGACCATGGTATCCCTGTTCTTAATTGGCCAGCAAACTCTCCTGACCTTAACCCCATAGAAAATCTATGGGGTATTGTGAAGAAGAAGATGCAATACACCAGACCCAACAATTCAGAAGAGCTAAAAGCCACTATTAGAGCAACCTGGGCTATCATAACACCTGAGCAGTGCCACAGACTGATCGACTCCATGCCACGCCGCATTGCTGCAGTAATACAGGCCAAAGGAGGCCCAACTAAATACTGAGTGCTGTACATGCTCATACTTTTCATGTTCATACTTTTCAGTTGGCCAACATTTCTATAAATCCTTTGTTTTTATTGGTCTTCAGTAATATTCTAATTTACTGATATGATGAATTTGAGATTTTCATTTGTTGTCATTTGTAATCATCAAAATTAAACAAAATAAACATCTGAAATATATGAGTTTGTATGTAATGTATGAATATAATATACAAGTTTCACTTTTTAAATGGAATTACTGAAATCAATCTACTTTTTCATGATATTCTAATTTTATGACCAGCACCTGTAGAGTTACGAACCGCCATGTTAGGTAAAATGTATTTCTCCTGAATTATTCTGCCCCTCTGACTTCTCTAAGTTTACTGTATTGTGATGCAAAGTTTAGTGGACAGCAGATGAGTTTGGAGAAAAACGAGAGAGACAGGTTATTCAAGGTACACTTAAAAAAATTTTTTTTAACAGTTTTTGGCATTTACTTAATCGTATTTAGTTACTTTAACACAATTGGTTCATGCTAGCAGGGTAGGACATAAAATGATTGTGTTAAAATAACTAAATATGATTTAGTAAATGCCAAAAGCCATTGCATTGTTTTTTTCCCAGCGTATATGAATTTCTCTCGTTATTCATTTTGATTAGTTCTTGAGCATAAAGTTTCATCTGCCTCTCATAGTCATGATGTAGCAGGTTTTCTTGCCCAAATGCAGAACTCACAGAACAGACAGGCAGGGGAAAGTCCAATATTTTATTGGATGAACACACAGGGTTCTGCCCTGGAAGGCAGAGAGGACAGAGCAGGTTAGGATCTGGTACAGGTTAACAGACTTACAGGTTAACAGGTTTGCAGGTTCAGACAGGCAGGGTTTAACAGGCAGGGTGGCTCAGGTTTGCTTCCATGGCAAGGACAACAATCCGGCTCAGAGGGGAGCTCTCACTCAGCTTATAAAGGGAGAGCTCTTAATCAGCAGAGCTGATGGGGATCAGGTGTGAGCGCTGAGCAGCAGCTCCCAGAGAAGGATCCACATCGCCCTCTGGAGGACAAACCCCTGGATCCCAACAGAAACAGAAGCCCACAAGAAGGGATCCACATCGCCCTCTGGAGGGCAAACCCCTGGATCCCAACACTCAGTACACAACATTACATAATGATGGCCATTTTTGTTCATTTGACTATGACCTAATTCATTATTTGTAATTTTAGGATACTAATTCAGATTTTATCAGGTTAAACTGAACATGTCAATACGCAAATGTGTAATATTTTGTAGTATCTACACAACATTATTACATATAACATTTTTTAGGTACATGAAATACTACTGTTGAATATACAACATATGCTTTGATGGATCCAACAGATGTAGGGATTTTTTTTTTTGTTGTTCTTCAGACATTTTATGAACATAATATTGTCACATCTTTATACAAGACTGGTATTATGTAAATTAACTAAAGATGCTTAAATAGATCCAACAAATGCTAGAGTTATTTATGCTTCTCACTGTATATAAATCTTTTACCCCCAGAACACTAATTTAATTTAAAGATCAGATTTTAAAATAAAGCAGACAAAACCTAATAGTTATGTCATAGTAAATAACTTTTTTATATCTTCATTTATTTTATTGGAAAAAAAAAAGTTAAGCTACCTGGCCCTATGGGAAAATGTAATCTTCCATCATGTCACTTAAATAAAACAACATGAAGTCGGTGAAGAGATCTCAAAAATCCGTCAAAATCTGATCCGTCAGCAAAGTCTTCCCAAAAGCCTTTTCAAAGGGTTTTAGACTCTTAGTTACAATGAGAGCTAATATCCACAAATGGGGACAATAAGGAACATTTGTAAACCTTTTCAGGAGAGGCAGATCATCAACAGCAGGAGGTCTGGTCCAAAAAACCGACACATCAGGAGACAACCAGCGCTGAAACACTAATATGTAAATTTAACTGAATGATTTACAGAAAGAAACTAATTGAAAAATGAAATTGAATTTATCTGCATGAATCCCTCCACCAAATAAGTGATTAGCAACTGAATTCAGCACGTATTGTGTTTTGAGCTACATTGTGCTCTTCCTCCTTTATCTGCACTACCGTTAATACTGTGGAAGCAAAGAGGGTGAAGGGCACTACTATTTAGTGAAAGGATTGTAAAATAAACAGCAGTGTGGGTAAAGCTGAACGCTGTTTTTTTTACAATTGAAGATTATTACTACAAAGCTCCAACAATGTCAACTCAAAGCCAGAGAAAATGAGACATCCAAAAAAAAACAAAGAACTGAATATGTCAATGTTGCTATGCCAGCATGTTTTAAATCAGGCTTTGGTTTTTCTGTTCCACTTCTAAAAATCAACATTTCCACTAAAATGCAGTAAGTAAAGTGGGACAGAGAGAGGCTGAACTCATCTGAATAAATTGAATAAATTATACAAACCATGTTGTGTAAAATGTAGCTGTCTTTATTTTTGTCCAAAATAGCTGCATGATTTAGGAGAGCATGGAGTGTAAAAGAGTTGCTTGTTTACTTGACTTAAGACATTTTACATGTAACTTCATCTGGATCTTCATTAACAGAGAAGCTGCATCCTGAAAAAACCACAACATTCCAGTTTCCCCCCTAAATCATGAAGATATTATATATATATATATATATATATATATATATATATATATATATATATATATATATATATATATATATATATATATATATATATATATATATATATATATATATATATATGTGTGTGTGTGTGTGTGTTTATTGACTGTTAAATATTGATTTTTCATAAAAATGTTATGAATATTGCTTAATTAGGAGCCGTCTGAATAATGTTATATTTTCAGTCATTATCCACTTCTGCAATAAATACATACAAGATAAGAACTGAACATGTACCGGTATGTTTAAAGATTATTGGTGAATTAAATCCTGCAACGAAGAGTGGGCAAAGTTCCTCAACAGCAGTCTAAAGGACTTACTGTAATGTGTCCACACTGCTTGATGGCAGTTGTTCCAATTAAGGGTGATACAACTGGTTATGAGGTTTAGAGGCATTAACTTCTCCATATAGTGATGATTTGCATTCAGCAGCCCCTGCAGGGCTGTAATGACTATTAGCTCCCAGTCAGATCAATACGTTGTGAAATGTTCTATTGATATTGTTATACGCAGTATGCTGTCCACAAATTAAAACATAAAGAGTCACAGCTGTGCAGTGGAGGATTGGTATGACAGCGTATTAAATCAGATAAGACAATAGAGATCCTGATATATCCCATATTAGTTGAACATTATCTCTGACAAGTGAATTTTGAGTTCACACTAATAATTAAATCATCTAACAAAACACATGAGCTCTGCTTGGATCCATCAGTGTCTAAACAACTCGGGATAATCTGGTTGTTTTCTGTTTGTTTAGCTTATCTGGTGATATTTTTTTATGGAGCAACAACTGTTTGGCTGTAAGGTTATGGCATTGCATGCTAGTTTTGTACATTAGCTGTAAAATAAAACTCTGATTAGGACGCTGGGGAGATCTTGGACATGACAGCTTTTAAATCCTCCACAACTATTTACATACAACATAGTCAGAGAGGCTATCTATTTAAACAGACGTCTCTCTTATTTTGTTTTTTGGTGCTCGAAGTTATTAGGCATGAAACAAGG